CACATCGATGATCCCAGAAAAGCACCGAAAACATCATTAGTTTGCTAAGCAAACAGTACAGTCAGTAATTTGGTGCACGCACTTTATGAATATCAGTCTAGATTCAGTGAGGGTAACGTGTTGTCCGTTCGGGCCGAGGAGATACTTCTAAGGAACAAAGATTTCAGTGATGGTATTGTGATATTTTCTGATGGTCCCAGAGAATGCTCGGTTGAAATGTCTTGCTGGCTGGCCTCTTTTTAGGAGAAACCTCACCAAAAATGCCAAGCATTTATAAGATTTTACAGTCATGGTTTGATAGCTTTTAGTTATTAGTGCACTGATGTTGATGGCCATAATACAAATCAGGTGTATGTACTAATAAAAGGTTCCACTGTGGTTGACAGTAGTTTACAGAAGCGATTTGCAGTATGTATAAAATAAAGGCAATATGAAATGTGGAGCAAGTCAAAAGGGAACTTATCGTGTGCAAGAGTCCCTTGGTGAAAGTCCGGACGGCGGGAACGTGTTTTCTCCGCAGTTCGGCTGCTACACATGTTCCATCATTGTCCGTGGACTTGGAGTGTTTGGCTGACTCCTTGCCCCCTGCGCGCGCGCGAGTCTGTGTGCCCTGACTGTGTTCGGTTTCCCTATAAGTAGGTCCGTTTGCGTGTACGTGGGTGTGACAGCACACGAGTTGTTGCTACGCTCACTAGGCAGTGCAGACAATCGATGTCCGATGAGTCAGCTTAATGTGACGTGGTTTGCGAGTGTGAAAAAAGGCAAGTCTCGTGATCCAGTGAGCGACTGTGAGCTGAACAGTCAAGTGTGTGGGTGACTGGGTAGCTACATAGTCAACCAGTGTTTACCGCATGAGTCTATGGTATCAAGTAACCATCAATCGATAGGGCATCGCAAAACCGTTTTATATGATTGTCGGTCATCTATCGCTCATTGAGCACCACTGAACAATGGCTAGTTTGCCTATGCGTCCTCCCATATTTTAAGGCACTCGTGATTTGCTCGTCCAGAGATACGTCTGACTTGGATCAATATAAAAAATGTGAGCAGCCTACAATTCTTTCATTTGGTATATTCACCCCCAACAGACATGCTCGGCTTCGTGTCACGACTGCTTCACAGAATGTCGTTTTCAGCAATTGTCATTGACGTAATACACTACTCACAAGGTTGCTGAAAATTCGTCGACAGTCCACAACCGGTTTCGCCCTTCTCTGGGCTCATCAGGTAGGCGCAGTCCCCGAGTTTCCGTCAACCTTATGTCCCACTTGGAACTCACCGGAAAACTGCTGTCGTTTTCATCATCTTCATTAGTGCGACATAGTGCACTGCGAAATACAATGAAGATGCAAGCCCCACTTGTTTCCCTATTTTGCCTGCTCTCGTTCACTTGAGCACTTCGCATTTCCAACACATCAGTCAAGCGACTGTTCTAGGTAGTTTTGATGTGATTAGGAATCAGGCTGTATGCGGACGAGGTTCGCCGCATCGGATCGATAACTGTCCGCGATTTGAACTCGATATGCTAAACGCTCACCGATTCGACCAATGCTGTTTGTGGTAGTGATTACCACTCCGTGATGCTCGCATATGTGCAATACAACAAGTTCATGCATTCAATGGAGGGACAATATGCGAGTCGTTGTCAGCTTCGGTGATGCCCATGGGGATGTCTTGCTTGAAAATTTGGAGCGTCAAACATTGTTATGGGCGATTGTTTACGAGTAGGGCACTTAGAAAACCAAGTATTTACGAAAGTCCTCGTTGGTTGCATACACTCAAAGATATGGCTAACGGGTATATAACACATTTTCGAAACAAGTTGGAATGTTCCCAGCCAGAGTAGGTTTATTGACTTCTAATCTGTCAGGCTTTCTAGGCGTAGGCCACTGAGTTTGAAGTGCATGAGTAAGTGGTCCCTCTTGACTCACCTGAACGCATGAAAAACGCAAACGAAGATGGTTTCTTTTGGAATCACAAATGACAGGAGTTGATTTGCGTGCGTTGTGGACTGTCCACCTGGTTGGGTAAGCTATTGGTGATATATTAAATAGGAGGAACACTTCATGGTGAAGGCGTTTTGTTGCTTGAAGTTCCACTTCTATGGTTTGTAAACACAACAAAGTTGGATCACACGACAAAATCATGACCTAGGCCTACTTCGGAGCTCCGTTTCCCAACGAAAACCGAGTATTGTCAGGACGCTCCCAGACATGGAAAAAGCAAATGTGCAGAGAGTGACGCATCCTCAAGGTACCATCGGTACGACACGTTCGGAAAGCAGGTGCATTGGTAGAGTGCACCATACACGGCTTAGCAACATACGACCAGTGGAGTGGGGCTGAAGATGCTCACGACCGGAACTCCACCGTTGGCTGTACAGAACGAACAAGTGAACGACCATATTTGGCCATTTAGTCATCCAATATATTTGTGCAGAAGCTCTGTATGCTTTGTCCTGACAATACAGCCGTGTCCCGAGTTCTCTGTCTTCTCCTTATCGCATAGTCTGGCAGGCTCAGTGCAGGCGTAACCAATAGACGGCCATCCACGATACAACAAGTGTAGAATGTGACAGTTGGAAATGATAGTGCTTCGATCATACTGCACAAACCAGTAGGCCAATATCTTGCTCTCGGGTGAGTGTCCCACCTCCTGGCACAAACATATCGTTCAGTTGTAGCACCTTTTCGGTGCCTAGCTGCCATGCCACCGGGAGGAAGCACGAGGGCTGGGATACGGGCAGGTTGGCCAAGCCTATACAGGGGAAGTCGAGATGCTGAGGTCGAGTTCGAACCATGGACCTTCCAGTCAGTAGATTCGCGCACTAACCACTGAGCCATCTCGCCCGGCACAACCAGATGATCGTAAACATATAGAACGTAATGGTCTATCTTATAACTCTGATGGACTTTTGTTGATATTAGTATATTCGACAAAACTCAAGGGTAAAACACTGCACAATTTAGCGAGAAGTAAGCGAAAACGCTAGCCTTTAGAGTCAAGGAAAAATATGCTTTTTGCGTCATTATTTCTGATACACACAGTTCATCGGGGATGCGAATGGCAGGCAGTTTGAAGGTTGGGTTCGAACCCGGGTCGCGTAAATGCTAGTCAACGTTGTCACCTCTTCGGTCTCCAGGCTCAATAAGGACATCCCAGGGCCCCGAATGGGGTCATTTTTCAAGTTCAGTTTAGATTGGTCTCCGTGGTATTCCGCACCTTGACAGCAAAGCTATCTCAAATTGCACACACTCGGAATCAGAAATCTCCCATTTGGACAAGGATGAGTTAACTTGTGAACAATCAGTGAATTCCATCGCATTCGGTCGCACACCATGTATGAAATATTCCCTTTGGCCACTGTTCTGAGCTGGTGATAAGTCCACAAAAGAATCGATTTTAGTAGCTCTTGGCGTAACTGTTCTGGCTGACAGGAAATCTGACAATCTGATATGGCCTCCTCATGTTCTGATCCCACTGGTGCTTTCATAGGGCCAAGGAACCTTTGGCGCATCAACTCAGGTTTACTGAGGGTACACGGGCAGTGCTCTTAAGCACTGCGTGCTTACGTAAAACCATGTTAGTCGAAAAGTTGGCACATCTTCCAATGTGTACCGAAAGTTAAATGAAGTGCACATGATCTGGTTGTTGAGGTATACCTTTGGCTGCTTGGCAGTTTCCGAGAGACGCCTGCACTTCATCTTGTCATCGTTCTCACATCCCACTAACCTTAAAGATACACTGAAGACAATGATCGAACATGTTATGGTCTCTTCCACACTAATTATTTTCACCATTCGTATCGAAAAAGATGTCTTCTTAAATTCAGAGTGAGCTTAGGCAGATTCTAAGACTATTGTAGATTTTCTTTTGACCGAGTTAAGAGAGGTAGTACAATGTAACGAACCCGAAGCTTTTTGGTACTTTCTGTCCTTTGTGGAAGTGCCGCAAAAAGCAACAAATTCAGTCCAAACTGGGAGATCAACGAGTGTGTATCACCAGATCTATTTTGTGGTTCCTCACTGCCTGATCATCTTTTGCGTGGTAAAAGCGAACGATCACGTGACATCGTGTGGCTCAACATACCACCGAATCATGCGCACATTTTGTCCCTGTCACGTGAGACAATTAACGCGTTGCTGTGTAGGTGAGATGGTCCCTTCTAGTGTAAGCACAAATTTGGGTATTTCGCACGCAAACAGCGTTTTGCTGCACGACGCGGCCAGTTGTGGATACGAATCTACGTGGATTTAGCAAGACATGCCTTAGCCTGCAGCTTTTAGATACGTTTGAGCTAGCCAATCAAAAACATCGATTTTGACCTTAAGTTGCAGCGAAATCTGACGACGGTCGGTGGACTCACTCACTCACTCATTCCAGGTTGGTCAGTTTATTCAAACAAAACTATTGTGATGCGTTCAATTTAAGTCACGACTAAAGCACTATACATGAGGTTATGCTCAGTTCACGATTAAAAAGCAATAAACACGACAGTATGAACGGGCATGTGTGACCGAAATAAGTAATAAATCGATCAGATTAGATGTGTGTCCAGGCTTTTCTACGCATTTCATACTTCGTCTCCGAGATGTGAAGTTGATATGAACGATTCTAACATCTAACTAGTGGGTCGTTGGTTGGTTATTTGGTTGACTGTTTACTCAGAAAGCTGGCTGGTTCTTTGGATTCTAGGTTGGTTGATTAGCTTGTTGATTTACTGTTCTTGTCCGCCGTTTTGGTTGATTCAGCTACTCGGTCAGTTGCAATCGATTGTGTACACTCCCATGCTGGTTAGCCATAACCCACAGGTGATTAAAAAGGCTGATATAGCCTGGATAGAAGCGCAGCTTGGTTCAGAGTGCTTACGCCAGGTACCAGACGTTGATCGATGCTGTCATAAGGGTGAGGCATTACTTTTGGTCCTGCAGTTGAGAGCTCTGAAGTATTCTTCAATTGTCCTGAGTAACAGTATCCTTACCTTGCATCTGCTTCGACAGACCAACATGGCTATGGACACGCTGCGGTCCGGGAAGATCTCCCCGATGCTGACCACAATGAACAACGGATACAACGGTAAGTCAAACTTCCTAAGCAAATTGTCCTTCGTTTCGTGTCTTCAGGTCACAAAAGAAGTCAGGCTTTCAAACCGGTGAAACGCGAGAGTACGCCCATTAAAAACGGGCCAACGACTCCGGTGAATAAATCCGATTCAACCTCGAAGACCAGCTTGAAACAGCGGCGTAGTCGCGCTCGGTACATATCCGTTCCCACTTCCCCACCTGCACAAGCGAAACATAGCATTCAGTCTCTGAACGTCGGAAAGTACAGCATAATTCGAACGCTGGGACGCGGAAATTTTGCACAAGTGAAGCTTGCCGTTCACCTGACAACAGGAAGAGAGGTAAGTGTCACTGTATACATCAATTCTGGTCTCATATCGTTTAGCTTTGCGACTTTACATAAGTAATTCCCTGATCACAAGAACAACCAATCAAGAGCACCTAATCTCTCTTTTTTACCTAAGGGTACTGTTCAAATAAAAATTTAAACGTTCGAATCCAAAATAAACCACGAGTGTAGAAACTCTATTCCTACGTGACTGTTAGCTTGGACACTAATTTTGGAAAAATCCAAATCAAAAGTAACCGGTTGTTTTTAGTAGTCAGTGCTGTTAGGTTTGAACACCGAACGGACGGTAGGAACTCAGGATCAACTCTAAACTGTGAGACCCTTGCAAGCGTACACTAATCTTTCTTGGGTCATATCTCCTCTAGCCAGTGGGATATCGACCCGAAGAACGTACTACGCAGCTTTAAATAAAGTAATCATTCTGGGAACTCTTTAGCTTGCAGGTTGGTGTGCATAGTTTGGCCCCAGATACCAATATTCCTACGTGTTCCAGAGAATTGGGACGAACCAGTTGTTAAACTTGCTTTCAAGAACCAACTGTTCTATCCATGGGGGTATATAAAAAATTTTTTAAAAATCGTTCAGCTTTAGCACCCTTCCGGTGCCTAGCTGCCATGCCGCACGAGGGAAGCATGAGGACTGGGATACTGCCAGGTCGCCCCAGCCTAGACAGGAGAAGTCGAGTGGCAGGACTATTCCATCAAACTTCAAAAGCCCCCGGCGCATGACACATCACAATGTCGTCACTGAATTCGACTGCGGATATGGAGCCACAAGGAGGCAGACCAAAATACGCGATTACATAGTCGAATTTTTACAGGTAGCTGCCGAGCTGTTTAGTTGCTTGACTTCTATGCATGCAGTTGGTTAATCACCGGACTAATTTGGCATATTTATTTTGTTTAGAGCTATCGTAGTAACGTCGATTTGTTTCGTATATGAACGGCCAATGTCGTTCCTATTACACTGAATCGTCAGTGGACCAATTTCATCTCCCGTGAGCTGTCCTTTAGAGGCCCTCGTGTAGTTCATTGCTTCATCTTTTTCAGGCTTTCAGCATGATTGGGCTTCTTTTCAGGATGTCAAAACACTTTTGAATTCTATTGGTAATTGATCAGGTGGCAGTTGTTATGTCATCCGAGATTTGTCACTGACTTACAGACCATCAGCCACCACTCGAGACTGGGTGTGCAGATCTTCCCCTCGTGATTGCGGTTTTATAGTTTTAAAGAATGTCTGAAGACTAATTAGTGACTGGCTGTTGACATATTGTCTAACTTTGCATTTGATTGGCCCGTTAGCTATCTGCCTTGTGCTGTGGTCGCTCTTCTCGGTATTTTATTGGCCCGTTGGATATCATTGGTTTGTTAGTTGGTTTGTGATCATTTCATGTGTGATTTGTTGCGCATCTTAGTGTGTGTCTTTCTTGCTGATTTGCTGCTCGTTTCCCGTCTAATATTCAACAGATTTCAACCTTCATCCTAGTAGTCCATTTTCAACTTGTGGTTGCTTTCCTTATGCCTAATTGGTTCTCTACACAACTTCTCTCCAATGAATTCCCGTTTTGGCCTGTCTGCTCTTGGATGTGACTGGTTTGTTTCAAAATTTGAGAATAGACCAACCAAACAGGAGGATGAAATATACCGAAAATAGGGGCATGCAAATGACCAATCAAATTTGAAGGCGGACCTGAACGCAAAAATAACAGACACCAACGAGCCAATCGGAACAAGGCAACAAAACTACTGAACGAGCTAGTGATATGTGAGTATGCCGTACCTTTGGAGGCTTCCAACAGCCAATCGGGTTAGAGGTATCTCATTCTCTTTAAAAACTGTATAAATGCAAACAGAACTGGAGGAGATGCCCACCCAGCTGCTCACCGAAAAGGTTGTTCGATGGTGACAAAACGCTATAAGCCCATTGCTAAGATCACCTTCCGCCTGGTCAAAAGCCAGTCAACGCTTCCGAGCTACGAAGATTCCAACACATTAACAAGAATAGTTGGTATAATTTCTCTACAGCTTCACTTGTATACTGCAGTCGCCGTTCCATAGTCTTGACTTTATCCGAAGTGATTCTCCGAGCAACCGGATACTAGCACGGCTCTTGAAATCCGTGGGATGTACACAAGATAAAGGAACTGAACCTTATTTCATGGTTTATGGAGAGAAGTCACTGACCAAAAGGCCCGCCCGCCTACTGAGAAAGCTCTCGGTTTTTAACGTTTTTCATTCGTTCTAGAACCATTGAGCACTTGAGGTTTATGCGGTAGCGATGCAGTGGTGAATGACCTTTCTGACTTAATTATTGTGTGGCTTTAGGTTTCCACAGGATATGTAGAACTGATATACACATCGCTATCATCTGGATAGTTCTAATCTCTCTCTGATACAGCAATTACAAAGAAAAATGCACTAGATTAAAGTTTCGTTTCTACTAGAACTCATGAGATTTGGATACATTTTACTGTGTCGGGATCCGAACCCTAGAAGTCTGAAGTTTGAGGCCACCATATATTTGTGATATACTGCTCATAAGGTTGCTGAAAATCCGTCGACAGCCGACGACCGGTTACACCCTCCTTGGGGCTCATCAGGTAGGCGCAGTCCCCGGGTTTCGTCAACCTTATGTTCTACTTGAAACCAAATTACACGAAATTAGCGAATATACACTCATTTGCAAACTAATTTGGCTTTTTCGAGAGACTCACCTGGAACCCAGCTGAATCGCTCGTTTGTGATGTATTTAGGCAACTAAATGTGCTGCACGGATTTTCAGCAACCTTATGAGTAGTACATTACAAAGAAATACATGTATCGCGATATCTCGAATATCATAGCAACTGAAACATGAGGCGGCCTGGTGCAACACATTCAGTTCTCTGAGAGCATCACAAACAAGAGATTTAGCTGGGTTAACAGGTGGGTCTCTCGAAAAACCAAATTAGTTTGCAAATGAGTGTATATTAGCTAATGTTTACCACCAGTTCACAGGCACACACTAGGTGCGTCAGACTCACCACGTCTGAGTGTGCAAACATATTCACACCTAAGAGGTCTGACTGGTTTGCCCAGCTCCTGGAACGACAACACGGTCACCATCTTGTTTGTGTGGGCCGCTTGACGAGCCTGCCAGGGCTCCCCACTGAGGTAGCCCCACTGCAGCTTGAAGCTATCTGTAAGTTTTAAGTGGCTGGTTGCGACCAGGTTAGTTTGTACAGTGAGTGTGATCATTAGGACGTGATCAAGAGCAGAGTGCTGCTAAAGTGTGCTAACAGAGTTCTATGTCGTGGATTGTTCAGACAGTTCACTTTCCCCTCAAATGTCTTGTGCACAGTCAACTTCTGTTTCCGTATTTTTGGTGAGCAGGTCTTTCGATGTGATCCGCGAGCCCGGGAACCATCGGGCCACTGCGCTATTCTCACAAGCCCTTGATCTGAGGGCCCCGGCAACACCGTTAGCCAAGGTCACTGCTGCGCGGGAGGGTCGCAATGACAATAGCTAAGTCTCGAAGGCCTGATAAGCTAATATAGGACTTTGGGACCTTGGCACTGGTGTCCGTTTGCACCAATATTGATCTTACGGACCAAGGCCCGCCGTGGTCGTGCCCTTTGTTTCGGAACCTCAGCTCACTCGAGTATGGCTCAGCGTACGACTCAGAAAAGTAACCTGCTTGATTTGTAAGTGTGTGGAGCACACTCCACACATTTGCTGCACGAAAGTTACGGAGCACCGGTGGTGTAGCGCGTCAACTAACCAGCGGTTTGTTGAAGTTCTGGGCAGGAAAAAAGTCGCCGAATTGAGGATGGTTGAAGCTCAAAGATGCAGGTGCATGAATGTGAAAAAAAACTGACCTCAGACGGTGGTATAAGGTAGTGCGGAGTTTCAATGAGCAAGACCTACCTTAGCGAACATTCATCAACCGAGAACTGGTCTGGAAGACTTTTAACCAGCGATATTTATCCACTCAGACGACGTTCCGTGCCAGCACACTGACTCAAATCGATATCTTCTGTGCCAGTTGGTCAAACTAATACTCCTGTAAATTATGAGACTGTTTTCTTGTGGGAATTTTACCTTTCGACCAAAAGTCGTTAAGTTGAACAAGTTTCTTGTGATGTGTAGTTGAGTGTAAGGTTTTATTCTGTTGTGTCCCGACAGGTTAATGTATTTTTCAATGCCAACCAGATGACCTATCCTCACTCTTCATTGTTGCGTCGCCTTAGGTTGATCGCGACGGACTTCTGGCACATTGGCGGTGCATGTGTGGGCTTAGTTTAGACTGATATGAAACCTACTTAATACTGCTTCTCCAGGGCATATATCGATCGATGAGCATCATTTCTACAGATTTGGAAAACTGTCTTTAAATGAGGTTATATAGTTTGTCAGGCTATTTGGACGTACTTTCTTGGATTCGAAACCTGGCTTTTTTGTTTCACAGTAATTCTCGTCATGGGGTACTTCCCATCTCGAACACCGTGAAGGCGATATCAACCAAGATTCTGGTGTGTATCGATACAATCCATTCGATCAGGGAATAGTACATCATTCAGGCGGAACAAAAGGGTCAAAGTCACATGCACAGACCCCCTCACGTTTCGCACAAGGGCTGAGTTCTGCGGTGCGGTACTTGAAGTCACTGTTATGAAGTGCTCGGTAACTGAAGTCTCCTAAACATAGTCGGCAATACTCCCGAGGTCTGCATAAAACGGCCATAGTTTCGTGTAATCGACCAATTGGATTGTGTAGTTTGAACGCACTGTCCAGGGTTTGAATTCAAAAATCAATAGGCCTAGTTACCCGCCCGTACTTGGCTCGGTTGAAGCTGCGCAACGAAACTTATGCGTGAATCTAGAGTGTGCTACATATGCTCTTAGCTTAGAAAGCGAAAACATAAGATGTAAGATCGTCATCACCGTCCACTCGGTATGCTTGGACTTATCACCGTTTTATCACAGTCACTTGATGAGCCACAGTAATGTTACCTTCACTCGCACGATGTAAACTGCATCCGAAAAAAATTCACAGTCTATTTTCTTCGAATGAGATTTAGGTTTCATTTCCCAACTTGCTTTCACGAGGCATTTCCAAGAGGTTCAGTTTTTTTTCATCTGCCTACCAGCGTAACGGTGATACTGCTGATGGGGAGGCATGCGAGTAGTATGTGTTGTTCTTGGAATTTAGCTTTGCGTCTCTTGAAAAGGGGAATTTGTGGATTCGCTTTGTAACATTTGTTTGGATTTGAGCAATGAATGACTGGAGTCAATGAACATCCAGGAAAGTTCAAGAAGACGCGTTCAGGAGAAGAGGGATATCCAGTTTTGTAAATAAGATGCAAATGAGAGTATTGCTCCCCTGTTCAATAGTCTGTAACCGGTCGGTTGGCGCTTCCTAATAAATAACTACACAGCCAAGGCCTTCTTCCTTTCACCAGTAGTGTGTTACGTCAAAATGCTTTCCTCCTTTTTTCCAGGTAGCCATCAAAATGATCGATAAAGCCACACTAAACGAAAGTTGCCGGGTAAAGGTGAGTACCAGTTTCCATTTTTATAGGGAAAGCAAGCGAATGGCCCCTCCTGAAGGGTGTGCTTATATGGGGGTGGGTTCGCACATCATGTCAGGTCAAACGAGGTTGGTCGTGGGGCTTTGCAAGAAGACCTCCAAGATGGTCCTGCTAGAAGGACTGCGGGAACTTCAATAGACTTGGTCACTCCTGAGTTTTCGGAACACAAATCTCCAACATGATCAAGTGCTTCACTAGTTTAGAACGAGATTAAATTGATGTGATATATGATATTTTCATTTATAACCTTTTCAAAGGAACTTGTACAGTCATATGAAATCTATCGAGTAGCCTTCACGCCTGTATTGGTTAGTGTGTACTTTGTTGAAACTGCTGTGGTCTGGGGTATAGTAACAAACACCTCACTCAAGATCGGGCTAATCTTTACTCATATTTAATATAATCAGCTTCTTCGAGTTCCATAGTTGGACTCATCGTAAAAACCCACACCATCTCCCAAGATTTCCAGTTTATCCAATCAGAACACCAGGGGTTACTGGACACACGAGTGTTATTGGTCGTTGCTCAGGTCGATGGTGACCTTGGCCTACAAACATCTATTCAGGGGGACGTTGCCTGTGCATGATTGGATGAATACTGACCACTGATACTCTTGTGTTTCGTCAAAGTCCTGGTGTGACAATAAGACCACTGTTAATCCGTCCAAGCATTACTACTTTGCAGTGTTTTCTTTCACCCTGTCTGAGCTCTTTGATAAGCCTGAAGTCTACAAAAGAATATAACGGTGCCTGAAGTCATGATACATCGATTAGATTCGCAGTAATGGAATGTCAGATCCCAGAAGACATCCAAAAAGTTTCGGAACACAAGCCGTTTTCGTGCCCCACACAATCGTTTTTACGCAGCGTACCGGCGAGCACCAGAGTGAAAGTGGAAGTGTGGTGAAACGAATTCCACATCTTTTGATTTATTTCCACTGATAATAAGACATGCAAGCGCTCGAACACCGTGAGCAGGATAGCTGAGACTAAAACCAGACTGCTGTGAAAACGACCCCTAACGTGCTCATACGAATAATTGGTCCATCAGTCTGCCTTAAAACGTGGTGATTGTTTGTAGCGACCGATCAATGAGGTCGTTCTTACAGTTAGCCAAATCACTCTTGTTCTTTTCAGCTTGCACGAGAAGTGCGTGTCATGAAAACACTCAGTCACCCCAACATTGGTGAGTTTACAGTGTGTATGGATTTCTGTATCAACTATTCTCACGATCTAATCACTGTTGGAATGTTGACGAACGTCAAAATTTAATGTCCACACCAAATACCTTGTTGATAAACGATTATACTTTTTTCGTCACTCAGCTGAGTTCATAGGTGTGGTTGGAAAGAGTTTATGGCTTGGTCAGTGTTGTGGATATATGTCACGTGTTTTGGAAAAAAACACATATGAAGGGTTTATTGCTGGTCACTGCAGGTCCGCTTAACAAGTTGCGGGCTGAGTGATGTTCAAGTCACAAGTTAGGCTTTGATTTCAACCGGTAATTTGAAGGACCTTCAAAAACGTTAGTACGGTTAACACCAGAATTCTGTTAGGTTACTCTCGCTCAACTGAAGTTGTCAATTCTGAGATACCCACAACCTATATTGGGGAAGCTGTGCCTAGTGAAATACACTCACTTGCAAACAAATTTGGTTTTACGATAGACTTACCTGGAACCCAACTGGATCTCTCGTTTCTGGTGCTTTTAAGCAAATGAATGTGCTGCTGCCTCATGTTTTAGTTGTTACGATATTCGAGATATCACGATACGTGTATAGACTTAATACACTACTCATAAAGTTGCTGAAAATTCCTCAACAGCCCAGGACCGGTTTCGCCCTTTTTGGGCTCATCAGGTTGGTGCACCCTCGATGTAGTAACGGTATTTTCCTCAGCTTAGTTGTCGGTCTGAGCCTCCCAAGCTAGCGTTCACGTCAAAACAAACACCAAAGGTGCACAAGGTCTATTAACGCCCAAAACGAAATCAGGAACAGTTGTACAGCGCTTCGTATATATAGCGTAAGCGGCTATAACTTTCTGGAATTTCTGACGCGTTCTGGAGCGCCATTAGCAACCGGCATTTGGCCAATACTGGGCTTCGAATGCGGAACAGACAGACTGGGTGTAGGTGGCCGACACAATCACAGAAGAAAAAACGTGACTCCACAATACCAGTGCTGCTGAACAGTATTCGGGTATCGATCGAACGAGCGAAACAAAGAAGAACATGAAGGCTTGGTCAGGTGAGGACGTACTTTTCACCTGTTAGATGTTTCTCGTGATGCGCACCAATCGGCAGGTAATCCATGAGAACCATGCAAAGGCCCTCGCACAGATGATTCTGGCAGTTTAGGCTGAGCATGTGTAGTTTGGCTCTGTTTCGAACAGTCCCCGAATTGGACTGCAAAAAGTTTGAAGGGCGCGATCCGGCTTACGGAAAGCTCAACCCTCGGTTAGTACAGGACTTTGAGGTCGGTGTCTTCGTTTGATTGGGATGGGCAGACTATGGTTGATGTTCTGACACGGATAAAATGTCACATGATGGACCCCATCCAGGCGTACCTGCGTATCAATCAGGACCAAAACCTCAGGTGACTTGGCTTTTAGAAGCCGACCCAAGCGTTTTGCGGGGGAACAGGCCGTGCATCAGCACGCTAGTATGCTCATCAAAGAAACAACAAATGGCACTTCCTGGCTCTTAAATTTGTTGTGGTACCGACCCACTCCAGAACGTAATCGTTACGGTGACAAATCGTTTGCTATCGGTCAGGGTTCACCGGTCTGCTGTCTCACAGGGTGCGACTGGACACCTCCAGCATGAGTAGGAGTGAATTTTGTTCAAATTGATCAAGCGTTTAGCATGGCCGTCTCTTTTATACTCCCAGTTTTAATGCAGAAAAAAAGCGCCGGGGCCTAAAATCATGACAAAGACAAACATGACATCTCATCAATAATCAGGTTTCGACTAGGTACAGTCATTTTATTGTGTCGGAGGGATGAATCTCGTCATAAAATGTTCTGTTAAATACACCTGGTTTTTAACTACGCTGCACAAATGATGGCGCAGATACCAAGCTCAAGCAATCGCATTCATTGAAGCCATCACTCAGTGATTATCACCATATAATTGCCTCGTCATTCCCCACCTGCAACCACAGCTGTGTGCAAAAATTTATTGCTGCGTAGGACGTGAAAAAGTGAGAGTCGATTAAGCAAACTGCCATTCTTAAACCCACGCTGTGATCAAACTGGAAAACATTGTGAGTACGATCAATAAATACACGTAACTACTAGTCACGGGGATCGTGCCTGAAAATGTTTCCTGAATACCAGGCTAAATGCTGGTAAATTTCAGTTTAAAAGATCGAGTCAAACTGAACTTATGGAATTTTATTTTACGTTGGTGACAAAGTTATGAGATCACTCCAAATCATCTGGTTGGCAGTGCACAGGTTTGAAACACAATTTAATTGTTGGAAGCTCACTTCAATAACATCACCTCCTTGTTCTTAAGTGGAAATGGATGAATAAAAGAGCATGACAACTCGCTCAGTCCACCGGACCGCTTCAACGAAACTGCTTAGCACAGGTGGAGTAGTAATACCAAACTTGGGTGTGGGATGCGATGCGGGTTGACACCAACATGTCCCAGAGGAAACACATTCAGCCAATGAGCGTCCGAATCCGGCGATACGTCCTCCCAGAGACTCCTCGATTTCAATTCATGTTGGGCAGTTTTTGCCGTTTCAAGGGCTTCGTCGTCTACAAACATATTTCCCAAGAGTCAAATCCTTCGAATGACGTGCTAATTTGTAACAGCAAGTCGATCCATTGATGGCTCCTACAACGACAGTCAATTCAAACCCATGGGGCTTATGATCACCTTTCAGTTACTTAGTATGGCGTCCGGTCACGGTTCAACCATCCTAATGTAATCAATCGATTCGGGTGGCCATTGAGGAATACTCATGTACCATTGTTGGTTTAAACAAACGATGTTGTCTGATGCAGTTGGACATTAAGTGATCTTTCATATCAGTGTAAGTTCCTGGTAGATCGCTCCTGTCACTGTGCAGCCAACTTTTACTGGAAACTGCTCCCCTGAAGGCGACTAAACCCTTTATACGGCCTGATTCCTGAGAGAACCCATCAGTATGCAGTTATGTTGCTATGCCATCACAGAACAGTATAGGGTGATAGACCTCTATCGTGGTGAGCACTCCTCGTCGTCTAGCCAACGATAACCTTGTTATTCCAGCCACTTACTCCTACCCAACTTAGAATCACCAAGCGGGGACCATTTATTGCCTTTCTCTTTGTGTTTCCGGACAGGGTGACTGGTGAAAGGAAGAAAGCCTTTGTTGAGGAGTTGTTTATTAGAAAACATCAACTGGCCAGTTACAGACTATTGGACAGGGAAGCAAAACTCTCATATGCATCTTGTTTACAAAAATTGAATATCCATCTTCTCCTTGAACGCGTCTTCCTGAACTTTCCTGGATATTCATTTACTGTTACTCAAATGCAAGTAAATGCTACAAAACGACCTCACAAATTTTGTAATAGATCTCACTTTTCAAGGGGCGCGAAGCGGATTTACGAGAAAACATACTACTCGTATGTCTCATCAGTAGTATCCACCGTTACACTGGTATTCTGGCTTAAAACTAGCAACACCTACGACCTACACTCAAGAAGCGAATATTTTTAATGTGATTTTCGGGTGGCTTTGAAAGCTTCTGCCGAATTTTGTCCGTATTTGACATCGGTTTGAAAATATCGGATCGCATATACTAGGAGAGATTTGAAGGCGAACGGCAGTTCCACCAAAGCTACCTTGAATAAAGCGAGAAATTACAAACGTTGTTGACGCATGTCGTTGGGTGACTCAAATAGTTTGCTTTGAAGTTGTTGTATTAGTACAATGTGAGGCTGTTTGCAGAAAACCAATGAGCAACTGGCATAACGACACAACGAACGGGGTTGCTAAAAATAGCATCAACCCGATGACAGCTCTAGCAGGATTACATGATTGGCTGAGAGGTGGCGACGAGGTAGTGGATACAGTCATTTTTACCCATATGTGATACCTAAAGAAAGAGGAAACATAGGCGCCACGTACATGCATGTTGGTCTCGCAGGGGGAAAAATTGAAAGCGATTGAAGCCAAAGATATTCGGAAGAAAGGAAACTACTCACAAGGTTGCTGAAAACGATTCGATAGCCCAGGACCGGTTCTTCTTGGGGCTCATCAGGTAGGCGTGGTCTCCCCGAGTTTCCGTCAACTTGAACCCAAATTGGGCAGGTTTCAACAAATAAACTCATCTGCAAATCAATTTGNTTTGATCTTCGCAGGCTCAAGTAGAGCATAAAGTTGACGGAAACTCAGGATTGCGCCTACCTGATGAGCCCGAATTGGAAGGTGGAAACCGGTCGTGGGCTGTCGAAGAGTTGTCAGCAACCTTGTGGGTAGTTTCCTCTATGAAAATATATTGCGATATGTCGAATATCGTGCCAACTGAATCATGAGGCGGCCTGTGTGCAGCACATTCAGTTGTAGAATATCATAAACGAGAGATCCAGTTGAGTCTCCAGTGAAAACCAAATTGATTTGCAAATGAGTGTATTTCTCGAGATCTGTACAGGTTTTAAATCAAAAAACCATTAAGCTTTCTCGCATCAAGATTTTGAATGGTCCTATAACTTTTTCGCACCCAGTTCTCGATTTTCAGTGTCCTCAAACCATTCCATCAAATGAGACTTTTTGTGAGCTTTTGAAAATGTCTAATGACTACTCCATGGTCGAAAAAAAACAATTTGATTCACTAGAATTCGTGGTTTCCTTAGCCGTGTTAATTTATCCCGTGGTGCTTGACACTTTGTCTTGCAAGCCTCGTTTGGACTGGAACGCATGCGTTTGCTTTGTGGCTTGGCCACGTGCTGCGTATGCCAGTCGACCAACTTCCTCGAAGGGCTCTTTCCGCACAACCACGTGAAGGGTGGAAGAGAGCCAGAGGCGGTCAAACAGTGACTTGACAGAAAAGTATGAAAGCCATTACCAGCAAACTGAGCTGCGCTGGTCGTTGCCGTCTTCCTTGATGGGGACCCGGAGACGGTCCACATCAATGGCTAGAGACTGTCAGACATAGCCCAGTCGTGCCCTCAATGGCGCTCGTGCATCCAAGCTATTGCCTTCAATGCATAGCTCCCTTCCCAATCCCCCCACTTGACAGCCTACCGACAGTGCTGGACTTATGCACCAATTTATCAGCTCCCGCCTCCAATGCGCAGCTACCTATCCCCCCAATCATCGGTGAACGAAACTGCGGCAGCTACATTTGCTTAGATAACCCTCCAGTTCACATTCTGCACAATTTGTTTCAATCAGTTAATCGTGTGGTTGATGAAAGCCTAAAACAATGCCGTATGTTTTGAAATATCCAAGAAACTGAGTCTATTGAATTCTTGAGTATTTCAAAACATACGGCATTGTTTTAGGCTTTCATCAACCACACGATTAACTGATTGAAACAAATTGTGCAGAATGTGAACTGGAGGGTTATCTAAGCAAATTCACCACTATTTTCTGAGTAATTTCGACAATTAACCTAACCCCGTGTCATCTCCAGCGCAGAGTTCATTTAAAACCGTGTTTACTTTGGTAATTTCCAATTTTGTTCTCGTTGTGTGCATGCACACGCTGAAACGACGTGGTCTTTCACAGCAAAAGACGCACGTGTTCTGTCTCAGCTGCCCTCATCTGACGAGTTCTGAAAAGGAAGCAATCACATCTTTACCGTAACTGGGTGTGTTCGAAAGCAGAAAACAGGGAGAAGCCTTGAGGACATCAGAAAGGATGGGCATCTACCTCATGAGCTACAGGTGGGCAGTCTGTCGCCAGTGATACATGTGTCGGTACAATCGCATTCAACACTTCGCTTGATTAACTCTTATCCAGGTACGGAAAGGTGTTACATACGTAAAAAACCGATTGAATCATCCGTAGACGCTCATGATAAATGCATATGTTTGGCAAGGAGGTAACTTTGAAAGATTGTGATTGATATGTCTCCAAAAGTGATGGCCTTGCTGAACAGAACGACTAATCAGTTTCTGCACTTCAGGCCTAGAGGTAGGTTTGCTTACGGATTGAAAATTCTGGGACGACTGAAGCTCCACGCGTTTGTAACTGGATTGTGAGTGTCCAGTGCCTAATTCCTTCTGATTAAGTGCACCTTGTAAAAAAAGACTCACAGAAGGGAACAAGCGAGTGCGAGAGCAAAAGTTACCACGGCCCCACGCTATTTAAAGGTGACTTTCTGACATTGATCCAGGCTGTCTGATAGGCGTCAGTGAACACTCGTCAACGTTGATCGTGCCTGTGTGAAACGCCTGAACGTTGATCACATTCGGTCATGCTTCTGTGGTGTGCATGAACACTCGTCAGCTTTTGCTGAATCGATTGAATGATTGACTGGCCTGGATGCTTGCCGCCTTTCCCGTTGAGATTTTGGTGGAGCAGTAGGTTCCGAGCGTTCTGAGGTAACTTTCAGGGAACTGATCTTCCTGATAGTAACATCCCCACATTAAAACATTATGGCAATCGTAAAGAAGTCAGTCGGGGCGTTACGCAATCTGATGGATGTGACAGGCGGCAGACCAACAGGAGACAATAGCGACGTTTCTGTAGAATTTTGGAGCAGTTTGGCAAAGTGTACAACGCATTAAGACACTGTATGTATAGGGGAAGTAAATGGTTGGTTCAAGCGGACTGTCAGGTCGGAACATGTTTGGAAAAGCGACTTCCTAACCGGACGGATTCCCAAGGAACCGGACCTAGAGAACAACTCACATTGACGGGATACTAACTGATGGGAAAATGAATGCATTCACATAAGTGGGGAAGATACCCGAGTGTTGAGAGTTTCTGGCTGATGTAGGTTTTTTTCGTTGAGTTTTAAGCGCAATCTAGGTTGTGGTCATCTTCCTGAAAAAACATACAAGCACAGATCTTTGATTCTTACAGTTTTTCACCAAAACGTGGGTTGGTCTGTCTCCGATCGTTTGCACACTGGTCGCTTTCAGTAATTGTCCGTCATCCTTCTGTTTCAGTAAAGTTATACGAAGTCATCGAAACGACCAGGCACGTTTACCTAGTGATGGAATACGCCAAAAACGGTAGGTTTCGGATGTACTCAATACACCTACGTGTTTTCTGACTTACCTTGGACTTACAATGGTAATGGCGCTTGTCAAAAGGCAAGATTTCAAGACCCGTTCCACTGCACCAGAGTGGGTTTCAAGGCCCACAATTTTCTCCTTTCTGCATCACAACGATGCTTTAGTTGATTGATTCCTAGAAATCCATCGCGATAGGAGGTCAGTTACAAAAGTGATTTAGTAAAAAAAGATCAAACGGACATTCTCGATTGCAGGTAAACCAGTCTGTCCAGGATGGTATATGACTTCCGGTAGCGTCCGTACTCAACTGCAAGTTTCATCCTTCTCTCGCTTAAAATTATGCGCGTTTTTGTATCTGTATTGCTTCACAAAAGTTGTCGTGGCATCGTTTTATCTTCCACTGGATGGTTTCAATGCAATATTACCTTTTTACGCCTTCCTTCACTATGAGAACCCTGATAATAGGGTTGGTTGAATTTGTGGTTAATCGATTACCAGGCCTTTCGTTTCATCAAGATTGCCTTTGCCAGGTTTGACAGACTATCTGCGTCACCTGACGTGCTGTCACAAGTGTAGCACGTCAACATACCTCAAACTCCGATCGCTGTGAGACCCACTGCACCATGATTTGATGAGATGAAAGCTGACTGACGGATCAGCTGTTAGTTGCGTCTTAAACACCGAAGGAATTTCCACTCACATGGCAATCACTATCAAGGCCTTTGCTGGATGCACTTGCCGTTCTTCCCACTTATCGTTAGGTTTTACTCTGGATGGAACATCCGTATTTGGTCGACTGATCCCAGGATTCCTGAGATAGGCTGTAGCACAGAGCCACACCGGGGTGCATTTGACCTTGAGACCAGCATTTGTTTGATTCCTCTTTTTACCGACTGACAAACTGATGTGTTACTTCACACGATATCCACTTCTTTTGTGGGGACCTTTTTGCCTGATTGCTGTCTCTTGGCAAGACATTTTGGAGCGTCTCCTAAGATGTCCGATCGTGATGTGCAGATTTTCAGGGAGGATCATGGAATTTAAAAAAAACTTAAGTTTTCTGCAGACTCATTTATCCCCAGTTTCTACACGTTATCATCTTTCTGAATGCATTGCAATACAGGCGAAGTTTTTGATCATCTCCTTCGAATCGGACGAATGCCCGAGAAAGAAGCTCAGAAGTTATTCCGCCAACTTTTCTCCGCGGTCGAATATTGTCATCAGAAAAATATAGTCCACCGTGATCTGAAGGTAAGCAAACGTTCTTCGGTCTCGATGAATTGAGTCGTTGTATTGGACACAGACCTGGCTACGTACATCTAGGTATTGATCAACTTGCTGGAAGAGCATGTGCGATTTTGGTTTGGTTTCAGTAAAACTAAATGGACATGCACCTACATGATAATTTGAACGTAAAGAATAGTCACTTCTAAACCACGAACTTTTACGGCGACACGACAACCATTTGGGCCTGATCTCTTCTTTTTTGGCCCACCTAAGTATTCCGTGGGGCACTTTGTCAGTCAGAGTGGGACTGGTATATTCGATTATAGGAAGTTGAACCTGTTCCCAACCTCAAGTTGAAAGCATGCGAGGGTTAATGGACCAAGTATCGATCGTAGCAGGCAAGGGCACTTGGTTTCCAAATTCCACACGGTGGGTGTGTGCCGTCAAATGCCTAGAGTGAACTCAATAGAGATTTCTCTCCGTCAGTGAAACCAGTCTGTGCTGGAAAGCCAAGAAGCACTGTGCAACTGTTTCATCTTCGTTGAGAATCATCAACAGCGCGTCTCTCACAAAGTGCAGAAAGTTCCGAACCAGTGGCCTTCCGCTCAGTGACTAAACACATAACTGTTTGGCTATGAGTGGCTGACCAACAGTGTGATCAGCTCTCACATAGATAGGACCTCGTATTAGTGTACAGGTGGTGATAGCCATAATACGAATCAGAGGGTGTATGTGCACTAATAGAAGTTTTTAGTATGGTTGCGACACGTATAAACATAAATACAGTGCGAAAAGGGAGCGAGTCAAAAAAGGGAACTTATCGTGTGCAAGAGTCCCTTGGTGAAAGTCCGGACGGCGGGAACGTGTTTTCTCCGCAGTTTGGCTGCTACACGTGTTCCATAATTGTCCGTGGCCTTGGAGTGTTTGCCTGACTCCTTGCTCTCTGCGCGCGCGCGCGAGTCTGTGTGCCCTGACTGTGTTCGGTTTCCCTATAAGTAGGTCCGTTTGTGTGTACGTGCGTGTGACAGCACACGAGTTGTTGCTACGCTCACTAGGCAGTGCAGACAATCGATGTCCGATGGGTCGGCTTAATGTGACGTGGTTTGCGAGTGTGAAAAAAGGCAAGTCTCGTGATCCAGTGAGCGACTGTGAGCTGAACAGACAAGTGTGTGGGGGACTGGGTGGCTACACTAGCACCATTTCTCGTTCACTAACGGGAACGAAATCATATGGTTGCTTATTGACTAACTCTTCGAATGACGGCTCTCCAGAAGGAAGTTTCCAACGTCCGGCGAAATGGTCCCTTCTCTGAGCTACTCATTTTTTCAGAGTAAAGAGAGGTTTTAGACAAAAATTAGCAATGGATAAGACCAGACCCCATCAAATTCCTATGCGCTAACATCATAGGGACGGAAGCTCTTGTGCTGCGTAAGTATGCGTTTGTCTTAAATGTCCTGTTAAATTCCATACGCGTACGTGTTGATTCTCAGTCATCAGCACTGATGACTAATCAGGTAATGTTTTCTGACTACTCGGCAGTAGTCACGTGCTTGCCCGAGCTAGTCATCAGCTGATTCGATGAAGATTCAAACTTTTCCGATTGTCGTTCAAACCCACTTGCATCGTTCATCTGTGTTGTTCAAACATGCATTTTTATGCAACAAAAACAGTAAGTGCTTCAAATTTTGCTCGAGTTTTGGCGAGGCAGTTTACGAAAGCATATAGTGCACCCTAAAACTCGGTTCTATGCATGGCAGGCTGGCATCCGTTGCTGGACATGCCTGTCATATCGAATCCCGCTCCGGTCGTTCTAGGTAGCGCCGCCGAGCCGCGTGTTCGACCAGCTGAACTCTCTCTACTCGTGGGGGACTAGAAGGTGAACAGGAACCCCAGTTGTTTAACTGGATGAATACAACTAAACAGTTGACAGCCAGTGTGCATGCTAATGGCGACGGGCAGTCCTCATCACTCATCAGATGCATCCGAGCTACACAGGTGGCCAATAATCAATTTGGTCTGTACAACGAAGGTCGCAGAAGGTCACTTCTGCAGCCATTGCTTGACATTTTGGGATCCAAGACAACGCAGAACAATGAAGTACGATAGATTTCATGCAAATTACAGGTGGAAGACAATTCAGCAGCCCGGATAATGGACTTCGTCACATAAGGCTCATATAGGTTCAAGCAGTGCTAATTCCAAAGAGTTCAGAAGGACTGTCTACCCTGAATAACACTTAATTAGTTGCCTTAGGCTATATTCAAAGTCGTCACCGGGAGGGCTTGGGTGGATCCTGGGACTGTTGTAACAAAGACAAAAGGCTGGACAACGTGATATTTGTTAGTAACAGCAGAACTGCTTCGTTTTTGAAAAAAAAATTGATTTCCCCCCAGACTCTTGTTGGAGGCTCACGAACCCGGTCTCCTCCTTTCAGGCGGAGAATCTTCTTTTTGACGAGAATAACAATCTCAAGCTGGCTGATTTCGGCTTTGCCAACGTATTCAACACGGAATGTCATCTGGACACGTTTTGTGGCAGTCCTCCATACGCCGCACCCGAACTGCTGTCCGGACAAAAGTATCACGGACCTGAGGTGGACGTCTGGGCTTTGGGTGTCATTCTGTACATGCTAGTTTGTGGACGTTTGCCTTTTGAGGCCTACACTTTGAAGGTCAGTTTTGTCGAGTCTTTTGAGTACCTCAGATATTAAGGATGAAGTCAACTCATCTTAGTTGATCAAAGCAGTTTAAAAGCCATAGCTGAATGAATTTCATGGCTGAAGTACTACTCTTTGTTTGACTACTCGATAAAAAAGTCTACTATGCTCCAAAGATCAAAACGTACGTGGTCAAAACTTGCATATAGAGAACTGGATCCAGTAACATAGTCTAAAAGGACTTATCCTGTGACCTCTCACCTCAGAAGGTTGAAATGCCACAATTCATCGGAGTCGTGTGGACAGAACCAGACTCAATCCTAGTTGCCTCCTCTGGAGATGGTAACTAAAGGCTCCTGTACATATTTTGCTCCATCAGTGAGAAGTGACTTGATCCAACCAGCGTCGGTTGTGTTCACGAAAATTCTCGGTGCCCCCCAAATATGAGCCAGTAAATGTTCTTCAACTCAAAGTTTGCGGTAGCCAAGAAAGTAAAACAAATGGTGAATAGTGATAGCATAGATCTCCTTCGGTCAGCCTGAGAGTTAAGTGCTGTGATTCTTTGAGCATTAGAAGCAGTACTGGAAAACGCACAGTGAGTTTATTGGAGAAAATCGTCTTGCTTTTATAAGACATCGAGAACGGCCTTTTTAATGAAATGAAATTTAGTAACAGGAGTCGGTTTCTTGTACGAACAAATTCGTTATTTATTGGAAATCAGAGATTTGTTTGGAATCAAAGATTCATGTAACCTGTAGAGTTCGGTTCATAGATAAGTAGCTGTCTAGAAAAAAAAACGGTGACCCATTTTTAAGATGGAAATAGTTCTGATTGCTACGCGGAACCTAATGCTGTGTTTGACTTGTTCTATGCCATTGCATAGTCCACTGAGTTTCGGATAAAAGACAGATTGCAATAATGATTTCTGGAACCCAGAGTGACGTTATAAAGCATCCCAACAAAGACGGCCCAGATGTCTATAAGTTGCTCGGAGGCAAGCACTAAAAATCAGACATTATATCCGGTTAATTTTCTACCATTGACTCAACCCACTTTGTACTTCTCGCCTGGGACTTTTGTTTGAGGTTCTCGTTGCGGAAGAATGTAATCTCTCTAGAACTTTGTTTAGTACGGCTCTTAATTTAGCAACAGGTGCTTACGGACCAATCAGGTTTACAGACAGTTCGATCGATCGACCAATCACAACCGAAAGTTTGGTCGGCTCACTGCTGACTGTATCGTTCCAATCAAATCCGATGAACTAAGACACAGCACTTCAGTGTGTATCAGCTTGAGCGGTTACTTCAACACGACTTCGTAATTCGGTGTTTTCGCTGTCCTTCATCAAAATGGATCAAGACATCCGTCTGGTTCGTAACATTGCTCCCACTGCTATAATCTAGGAGTGATTGTTCGACCGGAACTGTGTAACAGCGTTGTAAGTTTCACTGCAAAACAGAACTGGTGGAGTAAACCATGAAGAAAGCTATATTTTTTGTTCGCATTACTCTTGGTTGAACAGCCTTTCTCCTATGTTATCGCCGCTCCACATTCGCATACTGGAAGCACCGGAATTATCGCATCTGAACAAACGATCGTGTTTTTTTCAGTTTGAGTGATGTGACTGGTTATGCGAGGCGTTGTACGACGACTCAGTATCTCAGTCCTCTAAGACCTTCCATTCATGTGGCACCAGGAACGCTTGCAACCTGTTGAACAGGTTTATTAGTTAGTAGAATCTGATTTCACATTACCCCTGTTTGGATCTTTCTTTCCACGTCATACCACATACCATCTAGTAGGTTTCAAGTGCCCTGACGGGTGGGTGAATCGAGCAACACAATCAGTAAAGTTACTCAGTAGGTGTTTGTTTGGTCAGATAGCACAAGGATGGACATTTTCAGACATGAAAATTCATGTGTGCGCAGACACACATCCAGTGTCCGGGGTTCGAATCCCATGCATTGTCAGTACATCTCACTCAAAGTGAAACGCAATTCCAGTGTTTCCTCTTTTTGATTAGACTATTTGGGTTAATTTCACCATGGTTGGTGGAGAACTGTTCAAATGGCCGTTGTGTGAACGCAGATCGCAAAGTCCTACAACACAAATAAATCGAAATCATTTACTTTTTCTGCCGATGACCCTGAAATTGAATAAATTCCAGCTGCAGTCCATGACTACTTATCAGCAACGTAAACTTTGGGCTCACACAGACTACTGATTTGGTCTACAGGAATCAAGGCGTGAATACCGGTTAAGCAGCAAATTATGGTTCCAGTCATACGCAGTTCCTGTTTTCTTCTGTTCCAACAGGAGCTCCACTCAAGAGTGCTGAGTGGCAAGTACCGAATTCCGTTCTACATGACAGAGAACTGTGAAGCGATGCTGAGGAAGATGTTGATCATCAATCCGAAAAAGCGAGCCACCCTTCGGGTAAGTTGCTTGCTGTTTTGTCTTTGTTCCCCATCGCAACCAACTAACAGAGAGAGAGAGAGAGAGATCAGGAAGTGTACGGTCAAAGGCTGACACATTTTTAGCGATGCTCAGTGGCCGGCCGAAGAGAAACATTGGATAGGTTTGTTTCAGGCCGACAGAAGTTCTGTCCCCCTGTCATCCCTGCTTGTCCTCGGATTCCGATACGCATCGTAATCCTGAGAGCTAGTCATATCGTCTGAGATGGACAGAAGCCCTTTCCGCTCCACTCATTTCTTCCATCATATGTATTAGCCACCTTTCTTCCAAGGATGTTACTTGGACAATAAAGTCCATTGCAGAGTTATCCACACATTTGCGTTTTTGCTGTAAACTGGGTGAGAAGATTCTCACCTGATTCCCACAGATTGATCGCTTTCATTACAAAAGCTCGGGCTTTCTGACTCACGTTCTAAACCAGGATGCCAAAAGACAGAGAGCTGGATCTTCAATTGGGTCTTTTACGCAAAACAGTGTACATTTTCTATAGAGGAAAATGTCGGTAGCTCAGGTAGCGTAGATGGTCGTTGGCTTGTTCGCTGAGCTTGGCAGTTGGACTGCAAACGTTTCATCATCAATCGGCATGATCAGTGCGTTATTGGGGCGCGTAGTGGTGCGTACCGGTGGGTTAGTGGTTGTGCGTTGAGCAGTCTTACGCGTGTGTTAATATACGTGCTGCTAGCAGGGGATGACCTTTGATCGCGATTAGTTGTTCGGTCGGGCGGTTCCATTGGTTGCTCCGGTGTCCTGTTTACCCACTCGCCGATGCCCACGTGACCTTTGAGCTTGGCATCTACTGCCGTCGTAATATGGTCGATGCTGGGGTGACCTTTGTCCTTCGATCCCGGCTTTTGACCTTTATTGATTTGCCTCCAAGGGGTTCCTTGTTTCTTTGTTTGTGAATCCAATATTCGGTACTCCTTGAGTGTTCCAGTTGAGATGTTGGTCTTTTGTACGTAGGGGTGCGTAAATTGGGTCCATTTTGATGCACCGGTTGATCGAATGGTACTCCAAGGCGGAAGGACCGAATATTGGATTCACAAACAAACAAACCACCTTGGAGCCAAATCATTAAAGGTCACAAGCCTGAGGAACTACTCAATACACAACCACCAACCCACCGCTACGCACCACTAAGCTCCCCAATAACGCACTGATGATGTCACCTCAATTGGTCGACTTAAAAGAAAGCATGAAGGTTAACGTACAGCCCCATCGATGAAATTCGGCCAGTGTGACACATCGTCCTTCAGTCTCTACGTTCATTGGTGGTTTTTTGTATCCCTCTATTGACTTTTTATTGGTTGGGTGTTTATTTTGCAAGCACTTCGTACTTGACATTCAGGTTTACTGCATTTTCAATCTTGAACAGTGCGAACCGGCCGAAGATGTCATCTTTGTTCGTTGGCGCACTGTTTTCTTTTTGAAAAGGGTTGAATGACTCAAAAAGATACCTTCGAAAGTACCTAGCGGACATCGCAGTTGTTGGCTGATGAAAAGAATGCCTTGCAGATTAACTGACCATCGCAACTAGCCGGACGTCTCCACCGCGGTTTATGGCCCAATAACAGTGTCCAGAACTGACGCCTCGCTGCCGCACACTGTAAAGCGAGTCCACTGTGAGAACAAGGGAACTTGCTGCTTCAGAGTGTCGGATAGACCGACAGTCGGGGCTTGACGAGATGCCTGAGGCTGTCGGCGCTGGCTGATGCGCAGATGTTGAGGCCAGAACAGCTTTGAGACGAACGAGGTTGTCAGTCCGAACGAATCAGCCCACAAAGAGAACGTTGCCAGCGGGATTGAGAGAGGGGAAAAAACGACCGACGTCACTTTCAGTTGTAATAATCGCGGTTGTTCGTGAGCTGTGATACTGCCAGGGCGTCCAAGCTTTGGCAGGAGGACGATTAGGGTCCTCGGCTAAATCCTTTGGCTCAAAAGTTTGATCGTAAGGCGCCGGTGTTTGGCGGGAAATACAAGTGAATTATTACTTTGAAAGAACATGTTACTACACATTTTCAACCCCCGAACCTGGAGGACCAGGACTGTCCAAAACGCGAGAACATAGTGATATGGAAAACCCTGTGAGAGTTGCACTGACGCCCCCCCCTCACGGTATAGTTCAGTGGGTCACGAACCGCTACACCATGGTAAGGTCCAGTCTCCTCGTGGGGCGACCAGCCAAGCATTCTACAACCACTGACGCCCCCCCCTCACGGTATAGTTCAGTGGGTCACGAACCGCTACACCATGGTAAGGTCCAGTCTCCTCGTGGGGCGACCAGCCAAGCAATAATTCTACAACTGTGAATAATTTCCACTCGCCTACCAGTCCATATCATAACGTGTGTGTGTGCGCGCGTATGATGTGAGCTTGCCATTCTCTGAGTGCACTATTCCGATTGGGCCTCATCCCTTTTTCCGGCTTCCGCTACTCCCTGAAATATCCTATTGTGGCCTGTGTACGCTTTGTCCCCATATCACTCGGACCCATACACAATGAAATACCTTGTAAAGTCCTCAACTTTATTCTGGGACGCTCTTTTCTGCGTAATCATCATCAACATCATCATCACCATCATTGTTAGCTGTAAGAACCAAGTACTTGTCGTACAGTGGTTGTAGCTGCCATAGTTTCGTTCACCGATGATTTGGGGGGTAGGTAGCTGCGCATTGGAGGCGGGAGCTGACAGCACTGTCAGTGGGCTGCCAAGTGGGGGTATTGGGAAGGGAGCTATGCATTGAAGGCAATAGCTTAAATGCACGAGCGCCATTGAGGACGCGACAGGGCCATATCTAACAATTTCTCTAACCATTGATGTGGCCCGTCTCGGGGGCCCCATCCAGGAAGACGGCAATGATCAGCGTTAATCCTCAAAGACGTAGGCCATCAGTGAATGACCCAATCAGGGGTATTGCGCTTACTGGGGCTTGAAAACATCGTGGCTAACTTCTAACATCACATACGACAAGGATTGGGCAAGGTTGAAGTGACCGGACATTTCTGATCACCGAGACAAAATGCAGTATTTATTCCCCTATCTCCATATTAACTTTCACGAATGTTAACCATTGGCTTTGTGATAATACACAAACAGCTTAGAAACAATTACGGAATCACCTAAAAAATAGAGCACTCCCATGAGCGAGCATAAGTTTTCCATTTTTCAATTTCTCGGTTGATAGATTGCAAATACCGAACAGTTGAGGGGAACGGGGTCGGGTAACTGTGTCTTTGATTATTGGTCGGGGTGAAGAAGTCTGGCCTCTTCAATTCATCCGCGCGAGCTGGGATCGTGAAAAACGATTTTACTGAACGAAGGCAGTCTGTGGAGACCACAAGAGACTGGTTCAACAAACCAGTTGATGAACTCCAGTCCCCTGTACACGAAGGATGCATTCTGAGTGTTTCGCGTGCCTGACAGACGCATATAGAACAAGAACGTCCTTGTGGCACTTGAAAAAGTACACTATGCTGTGTTTACCCGGGAAAACTACGCCTTCTGATATTCCAACTTTCTGGGTAAAGAATACTGCCTGCTACCGTGTTAATAAAATAAGCTGATTTTATGTGAGCGTGATTCCGTTCCCTGAAGTAAACGGTGCTGTTTGATTGTTGTTCATGATTTGGCTGACAGCCTACTGGAAATATCGATATTGACCACTGAGTAGTTGTCAATGCTTGGATGGACCGAATGTGTTTCACAGATGGTTATCGTATCCATCCAAGTTGACTCGATTGGCTATCTTTAAAAAATCTCAGTCGTTCAGTTGTAGCACCCTTTCGGTGCCTAGCTGCCATGCCACCCGCAGGAAACACGAGGGTTGGGACACTTCCAGCTTGCCCAAGCCTAGACAGGGGAAGTCGAGAGGTAGAGGTCGGGTTCGAACCATGGAGCATCCGGTCGGTAAATTCGCGCTCTAACCACTTCAACCATCTCGCCTCCCACTTGTCCTATCTATCCTGACCACGTTCCCCATTTTCGTCTATTTTTCAGGAACTATTGCAAGAACCCTGGATAAATACGGGACACGAAAATGATATACTTCAACCTTACAAGGAGCCATCACTGGACTACAACGATCCCGTTCGTCGAGGTATTGTCCTTCTTGCTCTTGCCTGTTTGCGTATTTTGAATATTCACTGCTTACTGGTGGGCCGAATTCTGTTTGCATTCAAAATGCTGGATCTGAAGTTTGTTCCTAGCAGAAGATCAATTTTGTGCAGCAGTCTGAAGATGGTGCTTTCATCGCCGTTTGTTCTCCCGCCACCCGTTTTCTATGACCCTCCAATCAACGAACACTGAAAAGGTTCACATTGTTTGATCTGATCACACAATATGATGCCGTATTTAACGGCCAAAGACTCGGGGGCTAGACACTGAACAAATTACCGGACAGGTCTGCCCCCAATTATGTCATAATTTCGGAACCATCACAAGAACGCTGGAAAGAAACACGGACGGGCAACATCCAGTTGGAGTTGGTAGACGGAGATAAATGCAACAGCGGTCCAACCAGGAAGATTCGACTGAACGAAGATTGAGTCGCATCAGCTGTTTGAACGTGACAGCTTGCTTGCCAACCACCTGTCGACGTTTGCCCCCCACACACTCAACTCGAGTTCATCAGCCGTGAGTGAACTTGGGGCGATTAATTATAGGTGGAACGAGCAGACTTTCGCCCTGCTAAATTACCTGAGAATTTGGAAAATATGTGGTCCTTTCGATTACACTCATATGTTGGCAAGGCTGTTGACAGGTGTGTGATGTATCACTCCTTCCGTTTATTGACTCCACTAACGGAACAAAGTCAAAAAATGCAACCCATCAGTCTGAATGTCAGCGGAATTCACATGCGCAGACAGTCACGCGAATGTGGCATGTCTGCCCTGCCATGTTGAGGTTTGCAGCCAGGAGCATTGCGCGGAGATCATGCAAGTGACAGTGAGACTCGACGTGTGCAATCACAATCTGACGTCAGTGTTGACAAGAGCTGATTTAGGCAGAAGGATAACTGTCGCTTGTTTCGTTGGAATGCCACTAGGGAAGTGAATCAGAGCATCAGTGTTAAATCATTCTGGAGGCTAAAAGTAAGATGTCGTGATTCCAAGAGCACTAGCATGTCCATTTTTAAAAAATCGCGGTTTCATCATGAGCGGTTTCCAGTTGGGTTTGGTGGGGAAGCACCAAATGAGGTTTGTGAACCTTTGTTAACACACAAGCTTTTCTGGTCTGACAGTGAGTTCGAACCCCAAGGAGCTGCATGCGTACCGAAAAAATTGGAACAGCTGTGTCTTCTGCTCAGGGTTTCGCCATCAACTTTCACTGTTTTTTTTTTACTCAAAGGGAAGTGAATCAGAGCATCAGTGTTAAATCATTCTGGAGGCTAAAAGTAAGATGTCGTGATTCCAAGAGCACTAGCATGTCCATTTTTAAAAAATCGCGGTTTCATCATGAGCGGTTTCCAGTTGGGTTTGGTGGGGAAGCACCAAATGAGGTTTGTGAACCTTTGTTAACACACAAGCTTTTCTGGTCTGACAGTGAGTTCGAACCCCAAGGAGCTGCATGCGTACCGAAAAAATTGGAACAGCTGTGTCTTCTGCTCAGGGTTTCGCCATCAACTTTCACTGTTTTTTTTTTACCTCAAAGTGAACACCTTCTGTTGAAATGTTACCAACCGAAAGCCTGAACTGCGCTCAGAGAGCCAAAAAATTTAAATCCCAGCTTCCATGCCATCCGAAATTAGCACGAGGGTTGAGAGAGTGTCGGGTTGCCCAAGCCTAGACAGGAGCATCCGAGATGCTTGGGTTGGGTTCGAACCCCGGACCTTTCACCTCATGAATTCGCGCCTTAACTGCTGAGTTATCCCGAGCTTGCAACGCATTATAGTAAACTTTTGATTTTGGGTTTTCATTTCGGAGAGAAAATCTCTACAAGCTATCAGGACGGGTGGTGGAGGCCCGTTTGAAGGAATTTGCGTGGAGTTCGAATAGGAACTGTCGAAATGGTGGTCTCTGGTAGTATTCCCTCGGTCATCCGGGCCAACCCAAGTTCAGACGCTGTCCGCTCTTTACACAACACCTCTCTTTTTGGTAAAAAAAACTCCAAATCGCCATACGAAACCAACTGAATTAGTGTGCCTAAAACCGGTCCACTCGATAGAAATTCTGTCGCATTCTGCAGATACGCAAAAACAAGATCGGAATACATCGGCTGCGGAGATTGCATTTTTTCTTCGGGGTCATTTCACGTGACCTTGTTCTTCCTGATTGGCCGTTGTTATGTCCAATTGGACACCAGCAGTATATAATCACAAAATAAAGAACATAAGTTTGATGGAAACTCGGGGACTGCGCCTACCTGATGAGCCCCAACAAGGGCGAAACCGGTCTTGGGCTGTCGAACAGTTTTCAGCAGCCTTGTGAGTAGTTTCATTTATAAAGATAGTTTGTTCATCGACGGAGCAGGTCCAAAACACTTCGCCGCAAGTTGAGGGCCGACAAAACTAAACACACTGAGCCAAAAACCTTCTGTTTATGAGGAGAACGGAGGCTGATTCACTTTGCAAACTCGTCGAATTCCTCACTTTGTTAGGATGCCGTGACCTAGACGTGTTGCGTACCAATAACCCAGTGCTCTTTCAAAATCGAATATGCGTGATTGTAGTTTCGCAACTACTCAACGAAAAAGTTTCCACAAAATGAATGACGCTCCTTGAGCCGAAAATATGTGCTATAGAAGTCATGAATTTTATGTAAGCGTTACTGGTCACGGGTAGATCTTAAGACCTCCAGCGATTGATGCATTTTAGTCGACGAAGCACAGAATTCAGTGCGGAAGAAGGAGCTTTTTCATCAACAGGAGAATGAGGAGAGTAAGTGAACAGGGGTCCCCAACGAAGATGGATTCGGCTTTTCTGCCTGTCTGTGCTTCAGAAAGAAGATGAGATGTCGACGGTAAGTTGTCTGAGAGATGGAAGTTAGACGCTATCAACTATGGCATGAAAACTGAAAAACAATCGATCGTATCTAGACTTTCCTTGTTGCTTTTTGTAGTTTCTTGAACTCCCCCCCCCAAATACAGCAAAATACACGATCGTATCTAGACTTTCCTTGTTGCTTTTTGTAGTTTCTTGAACTCCCCCCCCCAAATACAGACAAAATACAACAAAATCAGGTGGGCGGAAAATAGCACCGTTTTGGAAACTGACACGCATTTCCGGTGGTCTAGGAAGGCTGACGTGCCATTCGGAAGCTTTAACGTTCATTCAGTTAGGAGAATTACGTTGACGGATTTGTGAAGCTGCCGACGAAGGAATGCAAGTCATCAAGCACTGTCCTATCATTCGGAATACCTAAATGAACAATAAGATAAGATCTTTAGACGCTTGATCCGGTTCGAAAAATTTTGAGAATACTATTCAACAACACCCTTGCTTCTACGGACGTATGTGGTGCATCATAGTGGGGAGATTTCATCATAAAAAACGCATATTCGAAACTAGTGAAAAGGCGAGTTTTTCCACATACAGGTAAGAAAATTTCGAATTCAAATTGTTCTACATTGTGTCCACATCACTTCTACCGTATCGCAACTTTGCTGCTTAGTTTACATCCAGAGTTAAAGAAGAGGACTGCGCATGCATTTCGATTTTATTGGGGTTTATCACCAGTGCGTATTCTTGGAACTTGAACTCTAGACCTTGATTATGCGGAACAAGCGTGTCACCATCAATCCACCAGGTTGCACTGGGCGAACCCCAATTGCGATACCTGAATTTGAGGACAGGGGTCACGTGACTGGCATACTGACGTCTCGGAAGACGGGCCAGTGAATACCTGGTTTTATCCATCGATCGATTTGCCAGAATAGTCTCTCAAAGACAGAAGGAGGAGGGTTGGACAGGAACCGTGAACATCCAACGGCTGCTCACATCTCTGGGTTTAAGCAATAGCTTGTTGAAACAAAGTATATTTACTCTGAAAAAGAAACGTCTTGTAATTCTAAATCAGAAGCTCATTTACTCTATTCCCACATGAATAACTATCAAAAAGAGCCGAAAGAATTGCCAGTTCTGGGGCTAGGTCTCTGTTCAACGAATCAACAGATTCGTCAATTCCATATGACAGCTGGATACACCTTGTACTATTTGAGAATTGTTTCCTCTGTTCTCGAAACGGTTTGAAACATGAATTTCTCAAGGTCACTTCATAAGCCCGAAAGTCTAACGATTGGAGCAAATTCAATTTGTGGCTAAATCATTTGTACCCCTGTCAGTAGGTTTCGCCCCGAACGTTGTCGAAGCGTCTGCCAGCCATTGCCAAACCAGACAAATACACCTGCGTGAAAATGTCATACTTTGTTCGAAGGCTTGTTGATTCACTAGGCATTCCCTTCCCTTGTTTTCTCTCCCTTCTTAGCAATCATGAACGAACTTGGATTCAACCCGGAAGATCTCACAGACGCATTCGAAAACCGACGATTCAACAATGTGACCGCCACATATCTCTTGTTGGAAGACAAGGAGACCAGGCATAGACTGACGAATCGCCTGTGGAACAAATGTGACAAGCAGAACCGGACTGGTAGAACGTCTTCGGATCCAGACGGGTCTCCAGACGGACAGTCTGCATCGAGTGACGAGGAAGATATGGCCAAAGCCAATGTGGACGGCCATGAGCGATCAAGTTCGGCGGTTGTTCGGAGTGAACAAGAAGAGTGTAAGCCATTCTGCTTGAATCTTCGTAATGAACTAAGATGCTAGAGAGTTCCGATCGATTGGTTAGCTGGTGAGTGATTATCACTCACTCACACACTCGTTCTGAAAATCCATCCATATCTTTTGTGGTTTACTGGACCTACCGTAATTGAAATGAGAATTTACAACACGTGATGCGAAAAGTTATCTGGATTCTGAAAAATCAGTTTTCAGAGGAACCATTGAACTATCCCATAGTTTTCGTAAAGCAAACTACTCACAAGGTTGCTGAAAACTCTTCGACAGCCCACGACCGGGTTCACCATTCTAGGGGCTCATCAATTGGGCGCAGTCCCCAAGTTGCCGTCAACCTTACGTTCCACTTGAACCCAAATTGGACTGTTTTTCGAGAAATACACTAATTTGCAACTCAAGTTGGTTTTCACAAGACTCAACTTGGGTTCAAGTAGAACATAAGGTTGATGGAAACTCGGGGACTGCGCCTGCCTGATGTCTCCCAAGAAGGGCGAAACCGGTCGTGGGCTGTCCAAGAGTTTTCAGCAACCATGTGAGTAGTTTCCTTTATGAAAATATACTGCGTTATCCCGAATATCGTGCCAACTGAATCATGAATTGAATGTGTGCAGCACATTCACTTGTAGAATATCATAAACGAGAGATTCAGTTGAGTCTCTTGTGAAAACCGAATTGATATGCAAATAAGTATATGCCATAGTTTGTTTAGGGTACCATAAATTATAACACAGCCAATCAGGTGTTGCAATCAAACGAGATAACGTGAACAGCTTCCACGACTATCTCAATAGTTTAAACCCACACATCAAGTTTAGCATGGAAATAGAGTTCACCTCGGGCACATTACCCTTTCTGGATTGTATAACATAAGTTTGGTGAGAAATTAAGAACTACGATCTACTAGGGGCCAACAGACACAGGAACCGTCTTAAATTACTCATCAGCACACCCAAAGTCAGTGTACGCTAGTATTGTCTCATCACTGTTTCGTCGAGTCAGAGCGCTGTGCGTAGAAGAGATCGACCGAACGGCAGCTCAAATCGAGATTGCCAACAAACTCCAAGAAATAGTATACCCAGTGAGTTTGATTAGGTGTCAGTTAAGATATTGGCTTCAGTATCTAGACCCAGTGAGGAATGTATTGCCACAGCAGTCATTCCATATAAAGCAGGAACATTGGATGTTATTCCAAGACTGTTGAACTTAGTAAACATTCGAGTAGCTTTCCAGAAGGGAGAAACACTACACTCAGTTTTGGTGTAATTGAAAGATCCCTTGCCAGCTGAGAGGACTAGGGACTGCGTGTATAAAATTAACTGCAACGATTGCACTGAGGTTTATATAGGACAAACTGCCAGGGAATTGCACACCAGAATTGGTGAGCATAAAAGAAGGATTAACAAACCACCAAGGAATGCAAAAGAATACCAAACGCTGGTCAAAGTCTCAGCGATGGCGGCACATGCCTTAGACACGGGACATAGAATAGATCTGGAGAATGTGGAAGTTTTAAGATAGGGACTGCGATTCAGACCACAGCGGCTGATAGCCGAGGCGGTGGAAATTACTAAGCACCGCATCGCGAATAGAATCAAGGGTGTGAAACTGGCGTGTGTATGGAAAGCGGTCTTAGATAAGCCGAGTTGACAAGTGACTGTGTGGTTGTCAATCCACGTTGAATCATTAGAAAAAGCCGAGGGGTGGTGTGGGAATCCCAACCCAAAGGTCACACCATCCCTGTTACACAACTATCTTAGCACTAGCTCATCCACACAGATGAACAGAAGGTTCAGCCAGAAGAACTAGGCCCTAGACTGAACCCAAACACACGTAGGTTTCCCCACCGACCAACCAACCACTCTAACACACAAAAATCCCTCGGCCGACACCTAACAGAGATTTAGCTTGACTTAGCTGTTTGGTTCTCCTTCCGCCTTAAATCTCCACCAACCTCAGAACCTAGTCACTTGGCCTGACGAAGATTTTGTGTCAAAAGCGAAACGTTGTCCAGCAATAAATCTACCGATTGTCACTAAACGTTTTCGAAAACTATAACTCAGCCACTTTTATTAAGATCATTGGGTGCCGTACCAGTAGTCAGGTATTCTAAGTCTGTTTTTTCCAAACAATTTCTACTAACCGTAGCGTTTTCTGTTCCTACACATTTCTCATACCACTTCATTTTTGGACAGACTGGCTGCTGGCACCGGCCAAGTTCGCGGTGACATATCGTAGCCGATAACCGACCCGATGTACTACTCATGAGTAATGCACCATCCATGAGTTGTTAGGAGCGAACCTGAACACGTCACCATGTGGTGTAATGCAGTGTAATGCCTCAGAATGGAGAGCGTTAATTGCACGAAATAAAAGGATACACCAGAGTCTTATTGGCCGCTTTGACAGCCCCACACTGAGCACAATTTGCATGTAGTCAACAAGTAAATATGCCTTGGATCCGGTTTTAACTGCAGGCCGCTCTAACTGGACCTTACGGTGGAACTGTATGAAACTGATTGGATCTTGACAGTCAGTGCACTCATAGCTGATGGGCCAGCTCTTGGTAGCACGATTGTGTTACAGCTCATCCTCGAAATTTTCCCGTGCACTGTTAACCAAAGAAAAACATGTTGAACTCATTATTTCTTCAAGACTAAGGTTTTTTCAATAACCACGACCATTTCAATGGTCTGCTATCAAACGAAAATCCGGCGAGCTCACGTGGAATGTGTCCCCGTCGAGGAGGCGTCGGTTTGTTCCACCTTCGTCTTCTGTGACAGGGGCAGTCTTTCGCTGCACGCCAATTTATTTTCAGAAAGTTTCTAGCCTAACTCATGGTGGACAATTCCTGCGATGTGAAATGCTTCGCGAATACTCGCACTTTTGACAGCCTCGCCTCCTGTTCCTACCATTCTGGCTTTCGCATTAGAAACAAGACTCTTCTTGGTAAGCAAAACAAAGATTGTGTAGTTGGATGCGATCAAGGAATGGGAAGCCCTTTTCGACAAACCAAAAAATTCATAATCACTAATACTTGGTAGCAGTGATCCCGAGGCTTCAGTGACCATTTGAACACCTTACTAGTTCTTCCGGTGAAGGCCGTCTCGCGACGGTATACCAACACGCGTACCTTCGCACCCAATGACACTGTTTTGACAGCAGTGAGCGAAAACCGTACCCCTCGTCGAGATTCATGCACTGACTTCATCTTTCACACTCACACACTGCCGACACCACCTCCGAGATTCCGCAGTGCAGAAAAAGTGTCCAACAACTGGTGTATTAGCTCACGGTTTACCGGCAAAAGTACATATCTTCGAATAGACCAGCTTCCTCGAAACTTGTTGTACCATCTTCTCTTTCTCTTAAAAATATCAAACAGGTTTGAAATGAACCTCTTTCAAGAGGCCCAACAATTGGTTGTTCACGTGAGTTTCGATTCGATCACCACATCCAAGTAATGCAAGGGAGAAGCTATAATCGGTGCAGTTTGAATTTAGCGCCGTATAGAAGTTATTTAAGAAAGTACACGCGAAAGTTGAAGAGATGGTGTTAGCGAAGCTCTGTTGAACTTACGAAAGCTTTTTACGGAGGTTGAAACAGTTTTTAGCTTTCGTCTCCGTGACGACTGCCTGTGCGGACCTCTTGTTCGCAGTTCTACGATATCGATTTCAGGACGATGCATAAGGTACTCCTGACAAGGATTGATTACATCTAGAGGCAGACAATCTTCGGGACTGACGGCGTTTCCCTGCCTGATCGATTCTAAGCCTAGAGTTTCTGGATTATCACGTGCTCCGCAAGAACCGCTCGTTCGGTTGTCCCCATTCACACAGAACATCAATCACACGTTTTACTTATGGTAGTCGTTATGCTTCTTACAAGTTAACAACGACGGTTATGTGCATGTCGCCCCGGAGTATGTGAGGTTTTTTTTAACAACGCGTGACTTGTGTTGATGTTTAGCTTTGTATTAAAAGGTTTTGCTTTATTCGTCATCCTTTTACGGGTGTCTGCTCGTTAAGATGGTTGTGCAGTCCAGGGTTTCTCTAACAGCTGAAGTGAGCAACACGGCTGTCGTCACACACTGGATCGAAGGCAGACATTCCTCAGCTTGCGTTATGTGCTACAAGCTTCATAAAGGAGTTCATTTTACCTAATTTCGGGTAAATAACTGAAACCTTTGCGATAAACACGCAGTCCAGATGGGCCAGTCTAGCCACACCAAGTGGTTTAAACGCAAATGCTCATGAAGAAACAACCAAAAACCCGCAAATGACCCAACCGAGGTTCTCCATTTCAAGGTCACAGCTTGATTGATGCTCGTCCGTGAAACCAACAACACTATATATAACGTAATCCTGGGCACAGTCCCAAGGTTAGTCAGGAGGTCTCAAGGTTACCGCTGAGTTACCAGCAGTACAAAGATGGCAATCTTATTGCTTGGTCCAATTAGAACCGTCTACCGAGCAACGTTCATGCAGTTGATCATGCAGTACCTGAATGCGCTTGGGCGTTGCTCTATGAAAACTCTTCGAAGTACTTTTACCGTTGCTTGACGGCTACCGAGCGCGATACGGAAAGGAATCGAATTCACACAACGTCAACGGATTGACGAAATTATCAATCGGTCATCCTATCAATGCATTAATCTATCAATTGGTCATCCAGTACAGGCAATCGGTACTGCTCAGTGGGTCGATTCAGGCGTATAGGTCACCAACCACAGAGGACGTCATCAATCCTGTTTCCGGGTTTCGGGATGCACCATTGATTAGCATTAACAGACCGTGAAACTCTACGAGAACGGCATATCCGTCCGAAACATATCCAGCAAGATGGAATCCATTTTCTACAGTGATTCGCGTCTACTCTGCGCGCAATTCGCGTGCACCACAAACCGATACATAGGATGGCCTACTTTTCACCTCTCACAGTACGCCGACTAAGGTTAAAATTCATAATTCTGTCATGAGTATTCTGAATTTGGCGCCGAAAAATAACAGCATACATATAATATATATATATATATATATATATTGCATTAGTCATTGGTCATTTGGTCTGTTAAAACTCAGTGAGTGACTGACCCACGGAGGTGATCTTGGAAACTGGTGATACCAGTGACCTTGAACGTCATTAGTATTGGGCTAAGGAACGGGATATTGGAACGGACGATGATCTCAACTGTCCTACCAAGCGTAGTTAACGTTTTTCCTCTGATGACCAGTGTTTAACTGCGTGAGAATTGTGAACAAATTCGGTGGGGTGGGCTATCCTAGATCAGTCCGTTGTGAATCGCTAGGCGGCGTGTCATTCTGTTCAAGAACGCACTTTCATCGTTTTCTTGTACAACGACCTTTCAAATATCAGTGATGGAGTGTTTTTATCGATCTGGCGAAAGTGTCAGCAAACATCAGGGGTGTGAAAGTTACTCCTTCTTCGTTTCAGAAGAGCTTGATAAACAATCGGTAGTTTTTATTTGGGCAATGTTTCGCTTTTGACACAAAAGCTTCATCAGGCCACCAAATTGGCCAGGTTATAAGGCAGACCGGAAACCAATCATTAAGTCAGTCGTCTTCAGATTATCACACTGGATCAGTGTTGAGTGTCAATTAACGGCTCTTGTCTGTTAGTGAAGTTGTCAAAATCTTAGCGAATATACACTCATCTGCAAACTAATTTGGTTCTTTCGAGAGACTCACCTGGAACCCAGCTGAATCTCTCGTTTATGCTGTTCTCAGGCAACTGAATGTGCTGCACCAGGCCGCCTCGTGTTTCAGTCGCTACGATATTTGAAATATCGCGATACATGTATATTTGTAATGTACTACTCATAAGGTTGCTGATGGGTTGTCGATGGATTTTCAGCAACCTTATGAGTAGTGCATTACAAATATACTTGTCAAAATCTTGCTTTGGTGGATCGGGGGTGTGTGGTGGGGGGGGGGGGGGTCAAATTACTTCCGATCGGGCTTGCTTCGCTAATCTTCCACTTCAGGGTGCTTCAGCTGATGATTCACCTCGGTTGCCACTGATAGATTTTCCTTGGTTTTTGTGGGGTATTGAGCGCTCCTCCCTCTGTCGCAAGAGCGTGGTTGGATAAAACCCTGAGTTTTCAGTTCGGTGAGTCAGGCCCGAGCTCCATAAAGGCGGCCACTGGCTTTTGTCCACAGATCTCTGTCGGAAAAGAACTTTTTCAAGGTGAACTGAATATCATTGGTTCTGCGTACGGGTTTTGCATGCCTCCACGTCGTAATCTCCTTGTGTCTTTTCAACCATAGATACACTCCATCCTTTGGCTCGCAGTGCGTGGGCAACCGGAAGTCTACGAAATCAAGATCCAGTCAAGAAGGTGAAGAGCTTCATGCGACAACCGTGAGTCCAATAATTTGAGATCATGATTTGCGTTCACAACGTAGATCACTAAAGGGGTCCGATATTTGCAGTGACGGATAGCAACCACTAATCGATAAGGCAAATATGGGGCAAGTGAGTGACAGACAACGAGGGTTTTCCGCAGCTCATTCTGTGGAGTACCACCGTGCGAGCTGCAAGTCAGTGGTTCTGGCACTTACGTTCTCACGGACTTCTCGTTTCAAGAATCAGTACACGGATTCCGTTTGCTCTCATGAGTCGATGGTTGGATCCAAGTCGGTTGGACTAGACTTCTGGTTAGTAGGAACTTTGTGGAAAAGGTTTCACCCAATGAAGTAACTGAGTTGATCTCCGTTTTGTAGGCATGCAATACGAAACCCCATGTTTGTTGAGGGGATAAAACATTTGTCACTTTAGAGGGAATTTACGTACCGTTTGCTGACACTGGATGGAGAAGCCGGTTGGTACTTCACAAACCGTCTGGTTCTTGTTGTGAAACTTATTCAGGAGTATTTTTTTGAAGATACCCATTGGTACGCCTGACAGCAGTCCTGTGAGCGCTCGTTCACTCGATGCTTACGTATAAATAGTCAGAGTAACAGTAGGAATTTTGTCAGTGTCGGTCTCCCATTGGTTAATCTCAAAAACGTCCGCATGCCTAGACGACTAGCGTGCATTGTTCGATCAGTGGTTCAGTGGCATCCTAGCTTGCGTGGCGGTACCAAGCATGGGCACTGCTGATGGGCTATCGCGGAAACGGAGCTTTAGTTTGATACCTCGCAACTCCGGCGTGAACAGACGAGAATAACTGCTCCAGAGTAGAAGGAGTGTTCAAACTAGAACGATGTAACCAGAGATTTCGAAACTGCCTGGCTCTTGAGAAGTCCTGTATTTCAGGATTCATGGTCCATCAGATTTTTGTAGTGTAGCAATTCTCTTGTGTGCGGAGAGATACGAACGATCTCACCTGTGAGTTCGTCTCTCTTTGAGTGATGACATGTCACACAATTCTGGTTCGCATAGTCCCTTCAGACAATCGGTGATGTCACGTGAAAAAGCTGATTGACCAATCCCTCACAGGATTTCAACTGTTCGTTTATACACAATCGCACGGTAAGGTATCGGACTCAACCCCTCACGGGTAATAGTTGAAACAATCAGGTCACACGTTCTGGGTACAAAACAATTCCATCAAGTTATGACTGTCCAACAATCCGACGGTGAACACCCACTGTAGTGATTATCGTGAGAAACCCTAAATTAGTGGCGAATAAGTCTGGAATGGACGCTCTTAGCAGTTAACCCATCTGGTTTTCCACAAACCAGCGCAGCGGGTGTTACCCTTCCGTTTTTTGATCAAATGTCTAGGCAGGCATAGTCATAAACTGAGAAGTGAGGAACATCGTCATCGTATGCGAAAAATAAGCATGAAACACGTGTATTCAGAAATCCTGATCTCTCTGTGTGGCTGAAAGACCTTAATAAACGAAAAGTCGATAAAAGCCTAAATTCGGAATCCAGCGGTTCTCTTTAGAGCTAAGATAATATAAGTCTGTCCTTATTACCATCAGCATTCAGCTCATCGATTTTTTCTGTTAATACATGCGTTTGACGGATCGCAGTAGCTACCAGTTATGCTTCGAGAGGAAGCTTTAATTGAGCTACTCTTAGGAAATCAGTAGCATGAATGTAGGTGAAAAATTTCCCAACCTCGCCGGTGCTCATGTAGCATGAATGTAGGTGAAAAATTTCCCAACCTCGCCGGTGCTCATCGCGCAGCTTATTTCAGCTTGCAAGAAAAAGTGGAACGCAAGTAATTTGTGATTTCATCCCATTCGTTTTCCTACAGGAAGAGAATTTTCGAACCCGCTCTGAATCTACCCAAGTTGATAGCGAATTCTGACCAGAATGGAGTCCCAGATCCAAAGACGGAAACGTTGACAATCGACTCGTTGATTGAACGTGTGCCAAACTCACGCGGGACCGATTGCAATTTAACTAAAAACTTGGATGAAGACAAACAACCCCCTACGCCAGTGAAGTCAAACGGACTCCGGAGAATTTTCACCAGCTCTCTGGAACCGGACGACTGTACGCGCAACGAGTCCGCAGCGGTAATTCAGAAGAAACAAGCGTAAGGGCATGGAATGTGTATGTATTTGTGCCTTCTGATTGGACATTGATGCCGAACGGAACACCGGTTAGACTAAAACCTATATTCGAAATTTCTCTATACCGCTATGTCACCCCTCTGCAAACGTTTTATATGAGGTACTTCCACTGAAGAATGTGTACAATACCAGAAGCTGCGCGTTGTGTATGCCGAACCGTCGTTTGCCGAAGAGAGTGTTGTTTTCCATGCCCAATTCAGAGTAGCGTAAACAGAGATGTGGCCAACCCTTGACTTGGCAGAGGAGTATGAAGGAGATCACGAAACGCTTGGGTGCTGTCGGTGCTACCCGCCTTCCAGGATGGGGACAGCGTGATCCTCACTGTGCCTGTTTGGAGACATTACAGGATTTGGCTGCCAAGTGATGTCAGTAGCGTTCTTATTGTCAGTTTCTATCCAGATCGCCTGAGTGAGTGTCTGGAGGTATAGGTACCTCGGAATGATTGTGGCAAGCTAGCACCAAGTCCCTTCCCCGTCCACCTTTACTCTTTTCTTTACAATAAGGCTTTCAAATAAATCATGGTTGTACGGCAGTGAAGCATCGGTGTTGAACACCGATGTCATGCTGTCGATGATGACGATGAGGAGCTGTTTTGCCTGTCGATGGTCAAACCAGTGGATGCTCGCGCGTAGTTGGGGGAACTGGATCGGGAACATTCGGATTCCCGATGCTGATGTGCACCTGATGGAATTAGTTAGGCGAACAATCACACACAGAGAGATGCCATGAGTAAGCTTGAATGTGGTGGTATAACAAGAAACGCTGATGATGAAGGTCGTTTTCGTTGAAGCGTCAGCGTCAGTTTCCTCAATTTTGGGCGCGATGCCACGTAATGTTTAGTGTGACGCCGTACCAACTATCTGCCTCAGGGATGCCCATTAGAGCTACTCAAAGGTGGCGACAGTTTAGACGGCATTAAACCTGTCGCTGACGACATAATCGTCCTTGGGGCAACAGCAAGTTTGTCAGTTATTAACAATTCGATTCAGCTATTTACATTCAGCTGCCGGATTGGTGTGGGCAGTTGGTAACCACCTAAGCTGATCCTAAGCAGACGTAAGCGCCCAAAGGCTGAGAATCCAGAACTCGTGAGTCAGTGCATTTCATTCGTTACACGGAGTTTGGTAGAACAAAAGCTTGAGGGCTACACGAGGACCGCGCTCACGATGGTGAGCTTCAAGAAGGGCAGGACCGGTCATGGGCTCTCAGAGATAACCTTTTGAGTAATGTGTATTAATGAAGCAAATTTACCGTGATATCGCGAATATCGTACCAACTGAAATATGACGTGGTCCTGAATGACGCATTCATTTGGAGAGCATCGCAAATGAGCGATCCAGCTGCGGTTCAGTTGAGTTAGCACCAATTCGATTTGTAGATGGGTGTATTTGGCAATGAACGATTCTCTTCGTTTCCGAACATGAAGTTGCTCCACGACTAAAACCGTTCAGCTGCAACACAATTCCGGTGCCTAGCGGCCATCCCATCCGAAGAAAGCACGAGGGCTGAGAAACTGTCAGGTTACCCAAGCCTAGATAGAAGTCGAGAGGCAGAGGTCAGACTCGAACCACGGACCTCCCGGTCAGTAAATTCGCGCTCTAACCCCTTGGTCCGTTTCGTTTGTCACTTGTCCCATCTCGCTCCACGACTGTAACGGGCTATCAGTTTCTGTTTAGAATGAGTACAACGACAGTGAATTTACTCTGGGCCTTTCTGACACAGTTTAGATCGTTACGGTTACCGAAGTATCGGCACACCTGGCACAAGCTCACGATAGAGAAACCTTTGGCCTCGTAGATGGGGTCATTCCGTGGGTCTACATGTTAGATCCTAAGCAAATACGTTGCCCTTCGAGGCTTTGAAGGCCCGCCGGTGCCCCTAGCGCAGTACCGCAATGTTGTCTTCCAGTACCGCGTGTCTTCGCTTTTGGTGTAAAACTGATACACTACGACGGCGATGATAAAATCCTATGGCCTGAGAGAGAGAGAGAGTACAGACTAAACCGCTTCAAACGCTGCTTGCATACAATGTATACTGGAGGTACTTGAGCTCCTAACATGGTGAGGAATGTGTAAAAACCTAACGAGAACCTCTATCTGCGCGAAGTCTAACCGGAGGAGGTTGAGATATCTTCTGCAGCATGGTATATCAGACAGTCGGTCACATCACAGCCAGCACTACACTTCATGAAGGTTAGACAGCACTGCGGAATTCAGAAGCAAAGTTGGTCCTTAAAAACCTCATAGATTTACGGCGCTGACAGATTTGTTTGTCATCGGGGTTTTGAATGAAAGTCATCTCTCCGAATTAGACGGCATTCCGAGTTCCTTTTCGCTGGCGCCTCTTCTAGAGTCTGTGAAGCTCAACTTTTATCCCGAGGCAAAACTATTCACGTACGACTTCGGCCAGAATTAAACAGCGCCAACGACAATTCTTGTGAACCTTAGGGGAAAGAAACAACACGGCAACCGAAAACAGCACGCAGTTTTGTTAAGCTCGTTCATTTCTTAAGGGAAACTACTCACAAGATTGCTGAAAACTCTTCGACAGTTCATGACCGGTTTCGCCCTTCTAAGGGCTCATCAGGTAGGCGCAGTCCCCGAGTTTCCGTCAACCTTATGTTCTCACATTGGACCATTTTCGAGAAATACACTCATTTGCAGATCAATTTGGTTTTCACGCGAGACTCAACTGAATCTCTCATTCATTTCTATGCATTTTCATCTATCCACACCATCGTTTACCTCTTTTTTCGGTCTGGACCCAGACAAACCTACATCTAAATTGATCAACAACTTATTATTTCAGTTCATTAAATTCATCTATATTCACTTTTTAAGCCCATCAGTGATGACCAGCAGGATAAAGACTGAACCCCTGCCGAGAAGGACGCCTGAGCCGGGGGAATCACGGCCTACCACGCGGACACACAGGAGCCGGAGCATCGTTATCGTTTCGGATGCTCGAAATGGTTCGGAGCATGATAGGTGAGTTCAAATATGTCGGCTTGGTGTTATACTGGTGTGAAAAAATTGCGCATGAAAACAAGTCAGCTTGCAGCACATCTCTCTCCAGACGCACGGCAGTCTACTTCTTACTTTGGTAACATAAAACATCAATTAAGATCTTTGAGTGGATGTTTCAAAGTTCATTCGACCAATTCAGTTCAACCCGCACTTGGGCTAGGGAGCTCAAGTAAGATGACTTTTATGCTCGGCAACGCAATCGTATACATTTCACTTTCTACCATATGTTGTAGGCTCTTGGCACGGTACAGTCCAGCCCGGATGGCGTGACTTGAAATCGTGCAACGACTAGGGTCGGATCAATCGATCGGAGAACGTGATAGGCCGACATACCGTGTTATACTGTTCTCAAGGACCAGTCATATGTTCACAACCCTATAGGAATGTTCAACCGAATGTCCCACGCATAACGCTTTTTGCGAATGGTGGGACGGGTTGAAAGTTCCAACTGAAAACGAGAGCGTACCGAGGTCACCAACAAATGAACAAATCTCTCGAAACTACCTAGCCGCAAACTGATTGCAAAACCACGGGTTAGCAAACGAACAAACTGTAGAACCTCATTGGTGGTTGATTTGGGAGAACCGATTCAATTGCCCATCGGTCCAAGTAGTCGAGATAATACGGTCATGGACTGTCACTTCAAAGATCCACGTTTAGCTGACCAACGTAGCGATGGACCTTCGTTTGTAGTGTCTATCACTGACCCTAACCATCGAGCGGAATCCCTCTCCAGAAACGCCTTACTGTTCGGCCTTGAATCCTGATTCGCACGTGCTTGACCAGAACATCAGTCCGCTTTCCGGTCCAGCATCAAGGTGGGCTCTGATTGGCCAAAAGTTTGACCTCAAGTACAAATCATGATTCAGTGTCAGCCAAACATTGCCAGTGGCACCTCCAGAGGGTATCGGTATTTCCATATTGTCGGTGCTGTACATGTGCTTTTGATCTGGTTTTGGGCCGTTGTTGGTTCTCCTACTGGAAAGGCTAGTTAGGAAGGATCAGACCGAGAACTAAGCTGAGGCACTACCACTGTTACACAAGCAAAAGGTCCTTGTTGGTTGGCTGACACTGACTTGCGTTTAGTTTCACCTTTACCGAATTCGAACTCCTATTGGTTGACCAGAACATTGCCTCCTAACCTTTCGCTGTCGCCACAAGCTCAACGTCGCCTACTCGCTCTACAGTGCCCGATCCAAAACACGTGCAGAATACAGGCTGGACTTGTTGTCCTTGAACGTAAATCTCTGACCTGACATTATGTAGATTCCCAATTTCGCACACCGTCCGCTCTGCGAGGTCACACTGAGCCTGACACGACTTGTCAAGGCTAGTCTGGCTGATCCTAGTTAGCTAAGAACTTGGATGCTCTCTGAGTAGTCTGTTCTTAGTATAACCATGCGGTCGGTGAACTCAAATGATGAGAATCCCATATGCAATGCCAATCAACGACCCCATTTCCTTTTTGTGTCTCGTCTCTCCGATCAGACTGAACCATTCGAAGAAACCGATTCGGGTCATTTCACTGATCTATCCGAACGATAAGGAACCAGAAAAGCTACTAAGTCGTTCCGAAGGCGAACGGTTCTGCACAACGGAAGACGCCGAAAATGTTCGCAAGCTGTCGAATCCTGTGATGACCTACACCAGCGTGCTGCACAGAGATCTATCAAACGGAATACACCGCCCGGAGATGTCGAACAATATCAGAGATGATCAGCGGAAAGCGAATCAACAGCCGACCACCACCAACACCATCCTGGTTACAGAGCGACACGAACCACCACCCGAGCCTGTGACCAGTGTAAGCAATGGTTCAGAGAAAACGGTAACCGCTTCGGTAAAACCAAGACTTCTTTCTCCCCCCGTTGTCGTTTCCCTGAGTCCATCTTCGGGTAACTCGACTGAACGTTCACAAGAATTCGTGACGAATGTAAGCCTGAAGATGAACGTATCGGATCCATGGGCTGACGTGAACAAAAGAGATCGATGGGCAAGGGGGAATCGACAAAACCCAACGTGTTCACCTATCCCCTCAGGTGGAGCTGACCAAAGTCCGGAAAAGAGAGTCGTCTCACCGGTAAAACAGAATGGTAATCAGTTGTGGGGAATGCCTCGTTTCGCGGATAATCGAACCAATACGAAGGCACGCATGACAAAAAGTCCACCGGTGACACTGAAGCGAACCGTGTTGAATGGAGAGCGTTCGCCAGACGTTCGGATTGTGAGAAAAGGTACCCGAATTTGTGCGTCGACACCCACGTCTCCCGTCTTCCGTACAGTAGAACAACCAAGTCGTGTGTTTAGCATGTAAGTTCTATTGTGCCGCTTTCCGTTTGCATGATGAATGGCTTTGAATTATCCGGTGTTTACTTCACTCTCGACAAACACTTTGTTAGGAAGCCGTTCCTTGGTTTTATACCCCCATTTTCACTGAAGTCTTGACAGACCGCCGCAATGAACTTTGATCTAGCGAATATACGCTCATTTGCAACTAATTTGCATCAGGCCGCCTCATGTTTCAGTCGCTGCGATATTCGAGATATCGCGATACATGGATACCTTTGTAATGTACTACTCATAAGGTTGCTATAAATCCGTCGAGGCGACCTGGTGCAGCACATTCAGTTGCCTGAAAACAACACAAACGAGAGATTCAGCTGGGCTCCAGGTAAGTCTCTCGAAAAACCAAATTAGTTTGCAAATGAGTGTATATTCGCTAGCTTCGTGCAATTTGGTTTCAAGTAGAACATAAGGTTGACGAAACCCGGGGACTGCGCCTACCTGATGAGCCCCAAAAAGGGCGAAACCGGTCGTGGGCTGTCGACGGATTTTCAGCAACCTTATGAGTAGTATATTACAAAGAACTTTGATCTACTTTTGTACATCGGAGCCTCTGCTGGTCTCGTGGTTGGTTTGCCCCACTGCTTCTGGGTGTGAATTTTTGGAGCTGCCATCTATACGAGCCAATTTGAATTAACCTCACTGATAACCTGCTACCAAACTAGCAGCTTTTCACAGACATTTCCAAGTGTTGTGCTGTTTTACAGATTCGTTAAAACGATCACCTGAAAATTCGCTGATTGTGACGAAAATTGGTGCTCTTGCCTCAAATATCCCCGCCCTTCTCTGCTGATGTGTAGTTTGTCGTTTGAAGTGGCTTTTAACAAGTGCCCGAAGAAGAATGAATGTCTTTTCACCCGTATGAGTTATTTCAAAATTGATGGTAAATTGGCGGTAATTGCCTTTTGATGAGAGTTCGTCAATCTTATCACATCAGTGATGCATTCATACAGTTCTCTAAACGCAGCAAACCAAAATAATCGAGAATGGGCCCCTCTATGGGGAACAGAGCTCTTGCAGTCCAAAGCGTAAGCTAGGATTAGAAGCATCCAGTTAGACCAAGAAAGAACAAACCTACTGCGCATAACCTTTTTAGGATAGTTCACTATTTTCACGTGTCGCCATTCTCCTCATCTCGGGAGCTTCAAACTTGAGGTTAGTAGAGCTAAGCTTGACTGGGAATGACGCATTGTATGCTAGGTAAGCGTGCAACGAGTCACGCTCAGAACGAACAATTTTGCGCTCATATGCAATTTGAAACTGCTGGGACATGAGACCCGATAGAGACAGTAGTATTCAACGCCATACTGGTATTATTCTTCCGCATGATGTGTAGCCTACGAACTCTTCCGAGCTTTCGTTCATAGTCCAACCACTCTCGTTCCTGTTCCGGCGTAATTATTCCAGTGAGTCCACACCAAAGGGAAGCATTGGACTCGAGTTTCGCACCTATTAGAGCTCATCAGCAGTGCATATCCAATGGCCGTGCCGGGATTTGAACCCCGGACATCTGACATGCGAGGCGAGCGTGTAGCCGCTACTGCACCAACGCACTTTGGACGCATCTGAATTATCACATCTGAACAGGCGAACGTGTTCACACTTGAGCGATGTGATTGGTGTGCCCGACCAGTAACTGTCCTGGTTGTGACGATCGATTGATTCCGAGGTTATCCTGTAAAGAAGTTAGTATGAGATGACCGTTGATCTGTTTGATGAGCTGCACAATCGAATTGGAAACGTTTCATCACCAAAAAATGTGACATCGTCAGTACGTTGTTGAGGCGCGTGGCATAGTGATTCGTCACTGGTTGTGCACTAAATAGTGGAGGCTGTCTGTTAATAAAGCGCTGATAGCCAGCGTTGACTTTCAATTATGAATGGTTGTCACGTCAGGTGGCTCTATTGGTTCACCCGTCGCTTTGCTTTCTGATTGGTTAGTGGCTACATTGCCCTTAAGCTTGGCAGTGCCTGCTTTCGTCTGTTGGTCGGTGCCGTGGTGAGCTCTGTCGTGGAATTCTCCAGATTCCAAGCAGTGACGTGACTCCAAGGGGGCCACTGTTCCCTGTTTTTTTTTACCTGATATTTGTGTTTGAGTTGGAATTCTCCAGATTCCAAGCAGTGACGTGACTCCAAGGGGGCCACTGTTCCCTGTTTTTTTTTACCTGATATTTGGCTGTGTTTGAGTAGTCTGGTTGAGACCGGGGTCGGCTGCATGCAGTGGTGCATGAATTGAATATAGTCCAATGCGCCGGCAGCTATGCCACCCGAAATCCCCTCCCATGTTTTCGCATGTCAGGGTTTTTACTGTCTCCCGATTGAATTTGTACTATTCACGTATGGAGATCCAGAAAAGAGGATCGTACCTTCTGACGGCCCCATTTAATTCTTTCAGTCGCGTATATGGTTTCATCCAAGTTTGGCGAACACATACCTTGATGCAGTTGCTGCAGGTAGTCCGATTCCGCTCTGTGTGGTAGTCATCTGGAGGGCGCATGACTCGGAATATTATACCGAGCAATCGAAGTCCAATATCTTCGCTGAAATCTCGAAGTAGCCTGTGTGCTGCACACCATGCAAGGGAATATCGATCTGGTATTGCTTAGGATGGGCTGCATTACGTTTCTAGTTTTAGTAATTTCATACCAAAAATGGACAATCAGCCAAACTGCTTTTAAAAAAATCGTTCAGCTGTAACACCCTTTCGGGTAGCTGCCATGCCACGCGAAGGGGGCACAAGGGCAAGGATGCCCAAGCCTAGACATGAGAAGTCGAGAGGCAGATGTCGGGTTCGAACCACGGACCTTTCGGTCAGTAAATTCGCGCTTTAACCACTTGGGCCATCTCGCCCCCAACTGCTTTTCAAGACAGTAACGAATGCCTAAGGTCCCGAAGACTCCAGCCGCGCCACGACAGCACTCACTACATAAAGAGGGACTTGCGCGGAACTCATACACAGAATTCAATTAGGCCAGCATCACCTGATGTGGTGTTGACCGGGCCAACAATTATTATTTGAAATGTCGGAGCGAAGATGTGAAACTGCGTCGTCTGGTTCCATTTCCTATTATCCATGATTGAATTTCTCCTTTTCTGTTAATTGCTGAGGTTTTCATGGCCTGAACATACTGGTATATTCACGAAATTTCAGTAGTATCTGTCGTCCAGTCCGTTTTTTACGCACTCTATAAACAAAGCATCATTACTCCTTACACCACCATTCTTCGTGTTACGAAACGTTCGGAGTGCGCAACTAACTTTACAGTAACTGTGTGATTTATTATTTTCTTGGCTTTCTGACAGTGAAACTACAGGACAGCAGAACCACGCAGCAAGGGACGGATGGAGCAGCATGTCGCATCACGACGGTCCTAGTGGAAAGCACTACGGCACACAGTACACCACTAACCGAATACGACCACATCGCACACCAAGCGCATATGAATCGACCACACACCAGCCTCTCTCGATTATCTATCCAAGCGACAACGAAAACGGGTATTCCGAACGTTGCACGCCCATGCCCAGCGGTAGGTTTCCGCCAATTATTTACTACTAATGAGTAGTTAGATAATAGTTGAGTTTGGTGGAAAAAAGGGTCTACCAAAGCAGGAGGTTTCGATTTGTTCCTTTGAAATAAACTCTTCCGGAAATGGGAAGACTTCCCTACTAACGTTCTTCAAAATAGCCAAAGGACTGTTTATTGCGTTGCGAAACCAGGCTATTTGTCATCCAGCTTGCACGTTTGTCGCATGAAGCATTTTTTTACATTAGAGTGACCCCAGGAAAGCAGCCTCTCCCGAAAGAATTCCACACTTCAACTGCATCACGTCCCATCCGTACTTGGCTTTGAAATAATACGTTTCCAACATTTGAGATCTCTAGAGTACAAGCTCCCTTCTAAATTGGTACTGGAACGCAAGGCTTACTCACTGGGTTTTCTCATATCCTGAGAGAAGGTAGATGCCTGACTACTTTGCGTGTGTAAATTTTGTCCCGAATCTAGGCATTATCTACCTGAAAGCCACACAAAGAACGAAGTAGAAAACGGTCTGGGCCCTACTCCGTTAAATGCCACACACTCCCTAGAGGACGCTCCCTAGCAACCACTGAGTGGAAGTCTCACGTGATATTTACGAGCGGCGTTTCGAGACAGAAAGAAAGGGTACTGGAGGAGAACGTTCTAACCACCTGTAGTATATCTGGTAAATCTTCAGCGCGTGTGAATCCCTTGTGGGACACCTCGGATCCAGGGGGCTCCGATGGGTTTTCAGTCCACCGAATGAAAACAGTTTTCCACCGTGCATAGGTAGAAGAGGCAACTGCTCCCGTGCGGTACGGAGAATATATGGCTGAGAATATTAACCTTGCTTTCAGCCGATCGTCATCCGTCCAGCATTGTCCACAGGCCTCAGTCACTCTTCCGTTTGTTGAGTTTGAGTTGGTTTTCGTAGAATTTACTAGTGATATACCGCAATTTGAAAGAACCTTACAAAGTGAGGAAATTATCACGTACTATGACTGACTACGTAAGGGTAACTGCGGGGCAAAACGGAAGCGTATCACTGGTGGGCGCCTTCTGCGCATCTTGGCACGGAGAATAAGATAGACCTGTAAGGGACGTGCTTTCCACGGTTTATGGATTCAGCAAGATTACACGGAGAAGTGAAAAACTCTCTTTTTATATGCCTAGGTGTGGGCGCCCTGACAATATCCCAGTCCTCGTACAACCATGAGTACGGCAGTGAAGTATCCGTGTCAACACAGATGTTACTGTCTTTGATGACGATGCCCAGAATGACGTCCCTTGGCGATTATCATCCTCTTGAACTCTCAGGTGGCACCAAATCCTCACCAGCTAAGACAATGGTGGCAGAACAAGCACTGTTTTGTCCCATCGTCAATCGTCAAGGAAACCCTCAGGAGTGAAAAAACAATACAAACGAGGGCGCGGTGTAAACTGCACTAGGTCTCCTGAAGTAATGGACTCGCAAGAAATACCTCTTCATGCTGATACAGGAGCTTTCAGGCATACCTGGGCGTGCCGGGACTGAGCCACTGATATGGATGCGTGGTAGACGGCATTCACCAGACCGTGAGACGTAGAATGTAGGCCCATCCATCAGTAATTACAAATTGAGACGTTGGGAGCTGACCAATTCAGGCGATTGGCTGGAAAGGATTTACGAGAAATTCCACTTCGCTATGCGACTGCTTCCAGCCTTATTGGTTCGATTTCTTCGTAGTCCTTTTCTTGTTTTTTTTTTCGAGAAACCATTTGAGATCGAAATGGTTTCATCTATCACACAGCATCTTGCGAATTCTGGTCCTTACATTCAAAATCCACTCACCCCTGAATATCCGTGCATCTCGGCTGCTCCTGTCTGGTTTTGGCCAACTAGGCAGTGTCTCAATTCCCGAGCTTCTTTCGGATGGTATGACAGCTAGATACTGAAAGCGTGCTCCAACCGAACGATCATTATTAATACTTCTTTACTCGTGCCTCCATTTGTTGTTTGTTGCTGGCCTCGTTGCAAATATAGTCCGACACACAACTCCACCAAATCAAAGGCAACGGGGTAACAAAATCGACGGGGGTTAGTGGAGAATATGTGGAGCCTGAAACGCAACAAGTTTGATAACTAAACAAGTGATTCTATAGTTTAGCTGTTGTACTGTGGGCATTCGGGGCTTGTTAAGGCGTGTTTAGGGTAACACTTGTTTCGGTTCTTGGAGGGGAACTGCCCATCCGGCACCCGTAGTCTGTTTACTAGCCCCTTTATCGGTGAGCGAAATGCGCTTATCTGCATACCAATCTGGTTTTCACGGGAGACCCACCAGGAACCCAGCTGACGTTCAAGAACATCACAAGGTTGACGGAACTCGGACAGTGTGCTTACCCGATGAGCCCCAGAAGGGCAAAATCGGTCGTGGGCTGTCGAACAGTCTTTAGCAATCTTATGAGTAGTGTAAGACGTCCATAACATACGACGTATTTTTAGCTCTCAGACCGTGCGCAGGGGGGAGGAAAAAAGTGCACTCTTTACCCGAGGCATATAACACGCGTATTCGGGCTAGGAAGAGAGTGCTCAGCTATCGCAGCAACAACCAGTTGGGCATATCGACCGAAAATGGTCTGGGGACATTGTTTCAGCGAATAAGAAGTGCACTCGTTTTTCCCATGCTACTGCATCGTGGCATCGAAGTGTTAAAAAAAGTGTTATTGACATTTATCACTGACTCAATCAACATAAATCACACTTATTGGGAAGAATAGCAGAACATCGTGCATGAATGCTACTGCAGTATCTAACTGGAATATCGATCGCCCGTTTGATGTTCGCTATTACTGAACAAGTCCGGGACTGGCACAAATTCAATTGGGAGTTGATTAACGGCGAATTGAGATAATATTCAATCAGTTTTCTGATTAAAGAAATATCCTACCCAAGAGTACAGCTCATGGTGATTCACTAAAACCTCCCCCAACATCAGCTGTTTCGACAAATTAGCGTTTCACACAACACGCACTACTCAAGAGTGATTTATATCAATCACATGTTTCTAAACCCAAAGCATCTTACCCGGGGGGTAAAGATTGACCGCTGGAAATACCAACCACGACTTGTATGGGTAAAAAACCGGCAGTCACCAGTGTCGTCTTTCTTTTTTTTTTACAGGAGAATTACGAACCCGGACACCCTATCGCCGTGACTCATCCCCCAAACTCATATCTCGCAGAGATTCCGGTTACAAACAAGCGCTGGAGATGAACAGACCCCAGTCTAATCTTAGCAAATACTCCCCAGTGGACAAGTACTCGTATTCCCCCTCGGTCACCTCAAATATGCGAATCCCAATCGCCCCAAAGTATGATCAGCCTGGTAGCAACCTAAGACCCACAAAAATCAATAGGGAATCATCCACTACCCCATCGGGAGAGGGTCGGACTTCAACTGGGAGTGTGAAGCACTCCACCAGTTCAAACGGCGAAAAAATCACGGTCCCACGAAAGATAAACTGGGCTTTCGGAATCAACGTTCAAGGCGATAATTCCCAAGCACTTCTGCGATCGCTGCTCCGCATACTGGAACAGAAGCGAATTGACTATGTTTATCAGAGTCCCTACCGCCTCCAGTGTAGCTACCAACCAAGCGGTGACCTGGATCAAACACCATCGACAAATTCTCAGTCTGGGGCGCCAATCAAGTGGGAGTTGGAGATCGTTCAGCTGATCAGGTCAAAAAACTATGGAGTCCGGTTTAGATATTTGTCCGGAGATCTGTCTCAATATCGAATATTAGAAAAATCCATATGTGGCCAATTTCAGAGAAATTCTGACTAAAAAATCTCAACCCGATACTGGTTATGAGCAGAGGGCAGCATCACTACTCCACTAACAGCGTCAACCCCCTTCCATCATGATCCCATTCGATACTTCTGACCTGCCCTCCACAGACACAGAAATACACTGCTTGGCTATGAGGCAAGTCCTTAGGATACAAGGCTGTTTCCATTATTATTGCATAATGAGGTTTTTGTAAGGAGCCTGATCCATTCAAAATTCTTCGTTCGCCTTATCTCATATTTTCCCCCTTCATTTACTTGCTCAGATGTAATCAGATGTCTGTGGTCTAAAAACACGTCTACATGTACGGCATGTACAACCAGAGTTACCTGAAAATAATAACTTTTTCACAAAAGCTAAGTTGTGATCTCTGATTTCCTAGAGGTTGTGGTGTACAACCAGCTACGGACTGGGGAACGATGTGACCGGAGTGGGCTCGCTCAGCTTCGTAAAAACGGCATCAAACATAAACTATTGATAAATTGTAAGTAGTGTGTGCATCGTTCCGAAAGTGACAGGGAATTCCAAAATGTCAGTGCAGTAATGGTCGACAAGCAGCATGTGTGGCACGAAAAACTAGGAACAGTAAATCGATGTGGTTTGTAGAATGCCGATAAGCAGCTGAGCATAGCGCTGTCTTTCGTCCATTCGACTGACTGTAGTGTTTGACTCCCGGGTGCCACTCATGTATTCTCAGGCACAAACATATGGTCACCTAGTGCTTGTCCTCATTCGCCTTGGTCGCGGAAACTCAATTCATGCACACTTGTACGCTTAAGAGTTAGAAATAATCAGAGAATTAAGGTGGGGCTTGGTTGACACAAGTGAAAACAACCTGGGAGTTGAACCCAATGGTTCTATCCGCTTCGGATGGACAGGGGGATGCGCTATCACGAGGTCGGACCAAGAATGCATCTGCATGGCGTTCTGTAGTCAGTCAGTGTTCGACTCGATTCCACCCCACGCGATGATGCTTACTGCAAGTCAATTCTAACACCATCGCGACCATAGTGCACCGAATTGCTTGAATTTAACGCATTCTACGTAGGTCTCTGTGTGTACGTTGGTAGTTACGGAGAGTCACTTCTAGCATCATCACAGGCTCAGCTCTACGGTACCCTCAAAGCTAAGGTGGATCCGAAAAGCTTAATTGATCCACCAACGTATCAGTGTATGCATCCTGGTGATCGAAAAATGAAAACTGTAGTCGCTGCAAATTTAGCTTGTTTGGTCTCCAGGACCGGTGCGTCTTCCATTCTTTGGTTCTCCGAGGGGCAACGCCATATGTGTAAGCGACCCACAATTCTAGTATTCCTGTATTTCCAAGGCGCATTCGACTCGGTTGATCGGTCTGTTCTTCTTGATACGTTTTCCCACCAAGGAAGTTTGTGAAAACAATACGTTCTTTGTAATGCAAGACGTGTGAGAGTATACGAAGAGCTCTCCAAAAGCTAGCGTACACAAAAGGTGTCCATCAGGAATGCCCACTCTCTCCATTCCTTTTTAACTTCGTGATCGATGAAATAATGAGATGAACACTGGGAGGTTTACAAAAACCTGGTGTTCAAATAGCCTGTGAAGAAAACCTTGTCGATCTGGAATATGCAGACAACATCTCATCTTCAAAGAGCAGAAGCCACAGTTTTTTTCGGACGAACTCACCAAAGTCACCCCGTCCTTTGGTGTGCACTTTGCACCCACAAAGTGTAAGGTCGCGGGTATGCATTCCCTGAACACGCCACTTACAATCCACGGAGAGGCACTGGAGTTTGTGGGGCGTTTTACGTATCTCAGAAGTTGTATTCGTTCTGATTGCAGTGCGACAGATGAGGTCAATGCAGGAATCTGCAAGGCTTGGGTCGCGTTTGCCAATTTTAGACACCCATGGCGTCAAAGTAGTGTATCTTTGAATCTCAAGGGACGTGTGTATCAAGCTACAATGCGGGCTGTTTTGTTGTATGGCTGTGAGACTTGGCCTGCTCGAGCAGCGGAACTGAGACGTCTTCAGGTGTTCGACAATCGTGCACCATCAACAAATTCTGAAAGCGGTAAGATCCAAGCTCATCACTACTCCCCATTTAGTGTGCGGAATAATCACGTCAGGAAAAGGGGAGAACTGTTCACACAAGTGAAGTGGATATAAATTCAATGATTGGGTTGTCAAGTATACGTGACACTAGCTGCCCAAGGAGTCGGTCATCACGACCATCGCAGAAACTGCGTCATCGTCGGAGGCATCACGGGGACCATACACATCGTTCATATGTGAACATGTTCGCTTCTTCAGAGGGGATAATTCCAAAGTGCGCTCGCATATCCACTGACTGGCATCTGACACACAGGCGTGCGCCATCAACCGGCCCAAACATGAGCGCAAATTAGTCAGTCACTTACTCTTCCTTCTACTGCTACAAACAAGGTAAAAAACGCGTGCAGTAGCGCAGGAGTAAAAGGTGAACGGCGTTAGTTTATTGTTGGGGCGAACTACATGGGAGAGTAGATGCGAGAGTATGCCTAGTTCGAAGATGGACCAAGTGGTAGAGCGCGAAATTTACTGACCGGAAGGCCCGTGATTCGAACCCGACCTCTGCGTTTCCAGTTCCTCTGTCTAGGCCTGGGCAACCTGGAAGTATCCCAGCCCTCGTGCTTCTTTCAGGCGGCATGACAGTCAGGTGCTACAGCTGAACGATTTTTTTCCCTAGTTCGAAGACTGTTGTTCAAGAACCAAGCATGGCACAAAGTGGGACGTATTGATGCGCAGAGTATGGATTCATGTGAGTTCGATCACTTAGTAAACGGCAAATTCAAGGCTATGAAGTGTATCCAATTCGTTCTTTGTTAATCCAATTGGTTCATAAAAAGTCTATCGTACGTCAGGTCAGAGAAAAAGAGAGTCAGTTATGATATGAAAACATCGCTCCAAACAGAGAACGACCGCACGGTGTGCAACGCAAGTAGCACCGTACTTGAAGCGCGGCTACCACGCACAGAAATCTACTGTTTTACTTACGTTTGTGACGGGAGAATAGCTCGAAGGAAGGAACTTTCTGCACTCCTCTGAGAATGGCTTCGCTTTCAGGGAAACTACGATGAGCCAGCATAAGTGTGTAAGTTTCTGGAGGCCTGTAGAAATTATTTTTCGCAGAAAAAAGGCACATAAGAGTCTGGATTGAGTTTGTCTCAATACGACGTAACTGGTCCTGAGGTGGATATCAAACGGTGACAGAAAACCAGAAAGCTTTCAATGTTCGCCCTAAACCCTCTCTAGGGGATTCCATCATCATCAACATTGTCAGCTGTAATAACCGCGTACTCGTCGTACAGTGGTTGCAGCTGCCGCAGTTTCGTTCACCGATGATTTGGGGGAGGGGGTAGGTAGCTGCGCATTGCAGGCGCGAGCTGGTAAGTTGGTGCATAAATCCAGCA